ATTAAATGTTCAGTAGTAATATGACTGATATCGCGACTACACACGATAGTTTGATGTGGAAAATATACAATAATAATAATATTTGTCAAGCTTTATATTTCATTCAGTTAAATGTTTTTGAAGAGAGTTGAAGTGCTAATTTCACAGCTCTGATTTTATAAAAATTAATAATTATTAAAATAAACGAATTTTTAATTGACAAAGAGAAAAAAAAATGTGAAAAGAATCTCAAAAAAATTTAAATTAAGCACCGATTATCGTTTAATTAGTGACAAATGTAGTGTCTATTGACTTTCAAATACGTGAAATAACGATAAATTAATAAATTAATTTGTGAGAAGAATTTAACGAGCAATTAATGAACATAAAACTTAATTAGATTAACATTGAATACTAAAATTTGTCATAAAAGTAACGTGAAGAATTTCAATATCATAAGTAACTGCAACAGATAGTCAAAAAATGTGTGAATTACTGAATCCACTATGTCATCCAAATAAGGTGATTTTATTATTTGCTTTTAAAATTGAGTTTAAGGCGGATTATAAAATCAATTTGTGATATTCACCACTAGACTACCGAGGAAATTATAATCAAATATCAAATTTCGATGTTTACATTATAAATTTTGACTGATTTCGATTTCATTGTTAAAGTTTTTATCACCAATAATTCGAATGTCAAACGCCGCTTCCAAAAGTCGTGCGATTTCTCGATGTTGACACTGGCTCCTTTGTGGAACAAAAAATAAAGTTCGACGCAAAAAAAAAGTTTTAAATTCGTTGTTTAACATGACATGCAACATATGGGAAATGCAATGAAAATAAATTTATAGTGCAATCGATTTATTTCAAGTACAAAAGGAGGCTGTCATTTATATCTATTTAGTTTTTTTGTGAATTGTTCTCCAGGGAATTGTATAAATTGGAGATAATCGCTGATGATTTATGTCATTTTTATGTGAACAATGGGATGAAAATTGGCTTAAAATTACGTAGTTTAAACTTTTTCAATGTTAGAGATAATCCAGAGAGTATTTCTAGATCGTCAGTAAAACTGAAATTCAGTGCAGTTCACCAGGATTGATATTAGTACGTACCCAAAATTAGTTGAAACATAAAGAATCCGTATGGGTATGTTATATAATATCTAAGGCTGTCATTCATTCATTTAGCCACATCCTTCAAACTCAAGAGTTTAAACACTATCCCTGAGACCTGGATCTTTAAGATAATCTTTAATTATTGTACAAAATTCACCAATAAACTTTAAAAAAATCTATTTTTATTGCACATCATAACTGAACGTTCCCTTACACAATTTTTACAACAAAAAAAAACTTGTTTCCTTTATGTTTAACATCAAACTGCTCTAATATTAAAGAACTTTAAAATGTTATACGTTGATGATGATACGATGTAGCTGAAAAATTTCCCATATTAAATTAATCAATCAGCATGAGTTAAAAGCAATAACACAGCGAAAGCTATAAAAAAAATTAATGTGTAAACAATGCGGAATTAAAGGAAGATGAATAAAATAAAATCGAGAGAAGCTTTTTTTTTATCGATAAGCACGTACACGCTGCATATAATTGCAGGGATGTCATTTAAGGGCAGATCATTCAATATATATATTTTGTAACAAATTGTAATTGATACATGCAGTTATGTTAATACGACTTCAAATAAAAAGCATTTTATAACTTTATACGGAAATTGTCGTAATTGATAAATATGTTTGTGACATTAGACAGAGATTAGAAATGCTTTAGATAGACGTATGTCCATTACTTTATGCAAATTCAACTCACTATCTTAATTGCTTTTCTGCTGATCTCTGCTGATCAATTTATAAATTACTTTTACAATTTTATTATTAATTTACTTTTCAAATTATGCGTGTGATAAAAAAGATTTCTGATGCTAATGAAATATTCAAACAGCACTCAATTTATTCAATTCTTATTGAGTGCGTGCGCGCGGCACAAAGCATTGCTTGTTTTATAACGTGTAAAGTAACGTGCTAGGTTTAATTTGCTGTCATGTGTACAAGTAATTTGATATCAGCAATATAAATCTGAATCTTGCTTGAGGCTTTATTTGAGTTCTAAAACGATGAATTTGCTTACATGATTAGCGTGTTGGATGTGATATAAAAGAACGGGTTTCTTGACACTCATAAAATGCATTTGAGGGGTTTATTACATGTCTGGAAATTTTCTATTAATCAAGTAATTTTATGGGAGTTATGAATTCGCATATAAAATTGTGGACATCTCGAGGAGCTCAAGTTCTTAATTAAAAACCTCAAAATCATAGCAAAGCAATTAAAGTGAATTCAAAGCTTACACAGCGAGCCTCCTTTTTAAAAATCAATTGATTAAATAGAAAGTAAAATGTTACATCTGACAGCAGATATTTTGTTGCACATTCTCTTCCAGTTGTGTGTCACAGAAAAGTTGCCTCTCAATGATCTTATGCACGTGATAATTCAATCAAATTCTTAGCAACTACTGTAAAAATATAAATATGCGAAAAAAAAATGTGACAGATGTGACCTCTTTTATATAAATTGCTGCTGCCTCTCTACTTTCAATTTAGAGACTATACTATATGCTGAAACAACATCAGCAAGTGTAGTCCACAATTAAAGATAACGATTTTCAACTTTGCCTCAAATATTTCAATTGTATATTGAATTAATAATCATAAGCTTCTGTTATCGTGAACATTTTCATTCACCCGTGCAAATAAATAAAATTTACTTAGGCGGGTAAAATTGCGCATTAAAATAATTAATATGCGATCTTTATCACATTACAAATTATACTGTTTGGTATGCTTTTAAGAAAAAAACATTTAATTCACTCTGTTGGATGATGATTTGAATCTACATGCGAATTGAGATTTTGGTATTGATAGGCTGAACTTTTTACAATTTTGAAGTGCTTTGAATATTTAGATATGTTGCATAAAATTGAAACTTTGGCGATTAATTGTTCGATAAGACTTGTGATTAAGTCACCGAGAGCTTTTAATTTATTTAAAATTATATTAAATAAATAGGATGGACCATGATCATTAGGAGATATATCATGTACCTTAAATCAATCTTGAAACTAAAATAATTTGTGGATTTAAGGATATTCTGTCACTAGCAACTTTTTATAGCAAATGCGATCAAAAATAAAGTGCCTTAAATTAAAATTGAATGAAAAGAATAAATTTGGAAATGCAAAGATTTTTTCTGTACACTCGATTTGAAGAATTTATCTTCTAGACTCTTTTAAGTCTGAATTATCTCGACTAACAACAAGTTGCTTCTAAAAAATTGAGGCTATGTATATTTACATAAATATGAGCAATTAAATCAAATAAAGATGTCAAGGACTTAAAGAATTTAAACGTATAATCTTGAAAGATTCTCAAATATTGTCTTGATTAGCTTATTTCGTTCGAACAACTTTTTACCAAGATATGTCTTTCAAATTGAAATTCGCAAGCTTTTACATACGGATTGATTAAATAATTGTTCCACTTAAAGTAGTCTTGCAAACAACATAAAGAAACTGAAACGAGAACATCTCAAATGAAACCTCTGCTCGAAATAAATAGTTAAAATGAAAAGTGAACATTAACAATAGAAAAATTAAGTGGGAGAAAAAAACTGCGAGATTTTGTAGTGATAACGAAAAATTATTATATATTCTCTGAACAGCAAACAATAAAGAAAAAATTGGAAATTAAATTGAAAAAAAAAATTCCATCGGCGCAAAAAAAAATAAAGATTGTAAACGAAATATTACCTCAGAGTTTATACTTACGTTGGCTGATACAGAAGCAATAATTTTTACTTTAGTGATAGCCTTTACATTATTAAATGTTTTATAAACAATAACTTCGACAGAGATCAGTGAAAACGAAAATATTGTTTATAAATAGTCGTACGGCGTTATTAAAAGCAATTTTAATGATTATATTTTAATTAACTCCTGACTTAAAACTCCAATGCAATCGGAATCGATCCTTCAAAGAGACCAGAACACTTGAATCGAGTTGTTGGCTTAAATTATTTAGTGTTAAAACTTGCCAGCTAGTTTAAATATTGACTGTTGTTAACTAAAGAAACAAAAAAATATATATTTTTGAATTTTTGTACACATCACTGCAGATATTTAAATAATCAAATACACCACAATGAAGATGAAACTATTAGTTAAAAGAGTATATACAAATTTTTTGTTAATCTTTATTGCTATTATTTATTGTTTTGATAGAATTCTATTAATGAACCAGTTGTTTATGATTTTTGAGTGTGGTTTATTGCATTTGATACCTTTTAGATGGATTCTTTATTATATAAATATTGAATGTTGAATCGATAGGATTCATCACGTTACATTCTTAGACTTTAAAAATCTGATAACTGAAGTGGACAATTTAGCTTCCAATTTGTGACTATAAGCTGCTATGAAAAGTCGATAACTCTTATTAAGCTTAATTAGAGCTTTTTGGCTTAAATTGAAAATTGATTGAATTATTTTGGGAAATTCCAGAATTCCAACAGTTGTCAATTTTCTGTCAAATAATAATCAGTTCTATTTGTAAACATTTAATAAACAACACCGGCATAATCCAGAAATTTTCAAATTGTTTAAAAACAAACGTCAATTGAGAATTGTTTGTGCACAGAAATAGATTGTTAAGTAATATGACTTTAAAGTCACAGTATTCTCTGAAACTTTGACAAGCTTTTGATTTCAAGCGGCAACAATCAATTAAGAAGCAAAACCAAAAGCTTCATACATTTTTATTTACTATTTGACTGCTTAATGGATTTGTTGAGATTTTATAATTAAGAAGTTCATCACCAAAACCTTACAAAATTTGAAGCTAAATCAAAAACTTCATTCAGATTCACCACAAAAGATACTCAAAAAAATCTTGAAATTCTCACACAAATTATAATTAACAGATTTTTTTGCATCAAAATTACAGGTTCTGTCGATGAGCAAAGATGATTATCGAAATGCATCGTTCATCACAGCTGGTTCATTTGAACAGGATGTTCCCATCCCCGATCTTGTTGGAGCTACTGAAATTTTAAGTGAAGAACACAGGTATGACTTGAAGATGACATCATATTTGATAATTTTAGTAAATCATTGTTATTTCTTATATTTTCTAGAGAAAAACTCTGTGGACATTTACCCGCGAGAGCAGAAGGCTATTCATGGTCATTAATATTCAGTACATCACAACATGGATTCTCACTAAATTCGCTTTACAGAAAAATGCACAAGCTCGAAAGTCCTGTTCTTATTGTTATTGAAGATACAGATCATAATGTAAGTATCATTGATATAGAGCTCAGTCAAGAAATATAGATAGTCTCAGTCTAGTCTGGAGACTGAAGCATCCATATCTCGTTAAGTTTAAAATTTGATCAAACAGTTTCTTCATTTGTGGAACAACAGCTGATCAAATAATTAAAAAAGACAATTTTAAAGTTAACATTTTTTATTGGCTTATTTTAGGTATTTGGTGCACTCACATCATGCTCACTGCATGTGTCAGATCATTTCTATGGAACAGGTGAATCATTGTTATACAAATTTAATCCAACTTTCAAAGTATTCCATTGGAGTGGAGAAAATTTGTACTTTATTAAAGGCAATCCTGAAAGTCTCGCAATTGGTGCTGGAGAGTAAGTAGACTTAATGGCATATTCTCGAGAAAGTTTGTCTCATCATTGTTAAATTCTATTTCTAGTGGTAGATTCGGTTTGTGGCTTGACGGTGACTTAAATCAAGGCAGATCACAAAGCTGTAGCACATATTCAAACGAACCGCTAGCACCTCAAGAAGACTTTGTTATAAAAACGCTCGAGTGTTGGGCGTTCGTTTAAATTCATTAATATAAAAATCTAACGATGATAATCATGGAGATATGTAACATTTAATTTAAAATATATTTTTTTGTCGATTATAGCAAAATTTTAGTGATGGAAAAAGTCATTCATTGAAGAAACAAAAATTTCATATTCATGAGTAAAGAAGCAAAACTTTAATGTTTCTTGAAACTGAAGAAAAATAATTCATTTATGGCAAAACTAATAGAAAGACTATAGGAAAGTGTGAGTAGCATAAAGATTATTTGGCAAGTTGCATGAGAATGTCTTCGCAATTTAATTTATAATGAAAAGAAAATGAAACTTTTTGTAGTAGTGAATCAAGAATGTTATTGGATAGAGCAAAATAAAATATAAAAACATTTGTGAAATCGTTAAGGAAAAAAAATTGTTGAAATTTCAAATTCACACCAAATTTTCAATTTGAATGAATATATTGTTTTTGGTAATGAAGTGAAACCATAATAATGTGAATGCATAAATAAGCTTAATGATTTTTGAACGTAAACCTGTAATTTATTAACAGTTGGAAGAAACTTAGTGGAGTACCACACTCTTGTAATCTATTAACAACCGAGCAAAGCTCGATCTTTAAAAAGTTCGGACTAGGTTGAGCGAAGCAGAAGTTTCAAAACTATCTAGACTGTAAGCAATATTGAGGTCTGATCATATCACAAAGTAATGCTTTAAATTTTAAGATTTTTAATCTTAACTGAACAATATTTAGGAATTTCTTTCATATGATGTGAATATTCGCATAAAGCATGATCGGTTTCATTGCTAGTTTTATTAAGTAATGAGGAAGAAGATGAGCAGAAAAAGATTTATGTTCTTCTATTTAAATGATAATATTAATCAAAATGTTATATTGAATCCATAACTAATATAGTCATGCATTTGTGTCGCATGTTAGGGACAAAAAAAAATATCGAGATGCATATTTTTTGTGGAGAGAGATCTTTTCAAAGATAACGGCTAACTTTGTTAAAGGAAAATTGTCAATATTGATGAATGAGGTTCAACCCTATCTTACCAGTAAAGCATCTGTCAATCTGGTTGCAATCAATTTTCCTTATCCTTAAACTCGAAATTATGGAATTAAAAATTGACTTAGAAATTTGTGGAGAGAAAAAAGAAAAGTCGAAGGCAAAAGTTTTATGCTTTTTATATGTTTATTATACTGAATTGTGATATGTTTATCATTATTCTTTTTACATTTTAATGAAATGCAAGCAAAACAACTAAATACAATACTTATTCCTTATTTTTATTAAAATGATAACTTTATTATTAAACTTCCTAGTTTTTGACATCCTTATTATTACTATTTGTATGATTTATGATGTAATTATGATTATAGCAAGGATTTATTTTGCGAATCATTATTATTTTAGAACTTTTAATGTCCTTATTATTAATAAAAGTGAAAAAAAAATGATTAAACTATATTATGGAACCGATTTTAAATTGTTTTTTTTTTTTGATTTTATTTATTATTTATTTTCTTTTTTATAGGAAATTTATTTATGAACTTTTGCTTCAGACTTGATCAATGAACAACTCATTCATAAACATTAAATTTCTAGTAAAAAATGCTTTCAATGTGTGACAACGATATAACAAAAAATATGAAAACTCAGAAATCAAAACAAATCTCTCTCAAAGTTGTTAGATGAAAATTTTAAAGAAAAATGCACCAAAATAATATTTTTTCAATTAATAATCTTAGGAAAAATTGAATGATGGAAGTAAAGTGTATTCACTATTATTCTCACTCTATTCTATATAGATAAATGTTCTAAGATAATCGGCTACATTATAAAGTTTACGAAGAAAACAGAAACTAAAGATTTCAATGCGCGCATTTAATTGGCTTAATAATTCGACACTTTTAGATAATGGATTTAGGTGGTTTGTGGATGTCAACTTTTGTGTTTGTTATTTTTTAAAAGTTGAAATTGGTCTGAAAGAATTAAAATGAACTCTAAAATCAATTTCCTCGACCATTTGAAATTCAAAATTTCAAGTCTAAAAAACATTTAAGTTTGAAATTTTATTCGTAGTAGAAAATCAAAATTAAATTTAAATTGGATTGAAATTCTAAGAAGAAGCTTTAACGTTTCAGAAGGTTCGAAACATAACGAAATGTTTCAAAAAAATAGGAAATATAAATTAAAATTGCACAAAAATGTTTAGAAGAAAATTTTTTTCGCCATAAATGCCCCAAAAATAACTCAGCATAACATGCAAGAATTAATCCGATTGATGTCTCTGAATTTATTATTAAATGGGAAAAATTATTGACTAAAATATCTCCTAAGTGAGTAGTTATAGCTGCCAAAAAAATAAAATTGAAAAGCAAAAAAAAATGGAATAAAATAAACGAAAAAAAATTGTGTGGCGTTTAAATAGATTTGGAAGAAATTTCGACATTTCCATGTTAGCTTTCATAAATCATGTTATGAGACATAACTATATAGCTTTACCTATACCAAGAACTGGAAGTAATTGAGGTAAATTTTACGAGGTTTTTCCACAAATTAGTAAAAAAATGCATAAAATTAATGAAAATTTCATTTTTTCTCTCGGCAAATAGTTGATTTGGAACAGGATGAATCTTCTGTGCTTTTGACTTTGATTATGCTTTACAGCTGGGTGATGTCAATGAAAAACAAAATAAGTATGGTTGTGTCTTTATTTTTATATCGAAATCGTTCTTGACAGGATTAACATATTTTAATGAATTCAATACAAATTGAGAAATTATCAAGCCAAAGACATAGAAGATATAATCCAATTAAGGCTTGGGAATTTTTTTGGCGCCTTAATTGAAATTTGCATTATTTAGTTTAAATTTGCGACCGATTTTTAAGTTTTAAATCAATTTTTATTAGTATCGATTGTATGGATTAATCCCAATTATAAATTAATTGGAACAAGGAATTTAAATTGAGGAATGAAGAACCAAACCATAATCTTTAAAGGTTTTAATTGCAAAATAATCAAATTTTAATTTAATCGACTTAAAAAAATTTCCAATAAATGTTCAAAATGAAACTTGAAAATCCACTAAAGAAGAAAATAAAATTGAAGAAATGCGCTTGTTAAATATTAAAATAATAGAAAAATACTTTACGCAGTTATCAAAATGTAATGAAAATAAAGTTGCATTTAAATTTATATGATAAATAATCCATATAGGTACATATATTTATTAAAGAAGAAGCATATAACGAAAAATAATGATGAATATATTTTTTTAACAAACAAAACAAATTTTTTCCCTTCTTTTTAAATAATAAACAAATCGCGCTATTTCAACTGCTCTAATTAAATGAAGAATAAATTAATAATGTGAAAAACTCATTTGCATCTTATTTTTCGATCGATCTTTTCATTCAGTACCTATCAAATTTCCAATAATAATCTTGCATCTTTTAATTCTGTTGCTATTATCATAATTTCTATACTTTGGAATGTTGTTGTGCATTCAGCCCGAGTAATACAGATTTTGAGGTTTTCAATTAAATTATCACATAATAAACTGATTTTCAAAGTATTGATTTTTAAATTTTGAATTTTTCTTAAGAAAAAATGCCAAAATTTTCAATTTACTATCCAGTTCCTAAGTCCAGTTTTTGCAAAATTCTTGCATTAGCTTCTTTGATCACGTCCTTTAAGCAGTTTTCATCCATTTATTCTAAGATTAAGTGGTTATTTAAGGCTAATTTCATCATCAAAAACTCGAGGTGGCAAATTTTTCTAAGTTATAAGTTAATCTCAAAACTCTGTATTGCTCGGGCTAGACAAAAAACTCACGTGGAAGAAACATACTTCAATCAACTTATTAACTGCATGCAGCATTTTAAAGGAAAAATCTTAAAACTGAGAAAATAAAATCTATTGACCAAAACATATTTTTAGATAAATGAATTCTTGTACGAAAAAAAATGAATGAAGTACGAAAAAAAAGTCTTTAACTTATCAAAATATAAAAACTTTTTCTGACCAAAGTATAAATCTTTAAAAACGTAAGACAAAAAAAACTTTAAAAATCACATTTGACATGAAGCGCCTCAAAGATATAAAAACAAAAAATCGGCATCGAAAATGATGTCAAAAATCCTCGAATTTCCATTTCTATATTGACAAAGAAAAATAAAAAAAAACGCTTTCAGTTGTTGACTTTCATACTATCCTTCCTTTCATACTGTATTATGAATAAGAAGTACAAGGAAATATTCCTTAATCTGTTATTCTGATATTAATATGCGCGAACACGAGGATTTAACTCAAATATGAATCCAGGGGGTTAGAATTTTTTGAAATGGATGTGAACAATCTTTTGGTTTGTGGATCAAATTCTACTCCTAAATGAATAGCCAAAACAATCTTGACTTGAACAACATTTAACCAAACATTTTAAAATTCAAATACAATCTTAAAGAATTTCTACACTGACATGTTTGTAGTGCGAAGAAACCTACTAGCCAGTAGGATAAACTTTTTAAAAAATTATAACAACTCAGCCACTGTAGTTTATAATTCAGAGTGGCAATAAAATTGACATTCTAAATCAATATATTTATGGTTCCACAAACTCATTTCAAAGAATTCTGATTCCCCGAAACTCAACATTGCATAATATGGTAAACAAAAAACATTACTAATAAATGAAACTAGTTGACATTGAAGAATATGAAACTTTTTTATGTAAAACAAACACAGTCAATTATTAAAATTTAAATGAAATGAGAAATTATATTAATTATAAACTAAAATACAAAAACGTAGACTGGTTAATGAAGAAAAGTTATTAATTATTAAACTTAATATTAAAAGAAGAATTCCATTAAAATATCATACAAATAGTAAAAATTTAATAAAAAGTAAATAAATTGAATAACTAATATCCCATTTTTTCAACGATTTTAAATAGAAAATTACCAACTCCCTATTTTTCACATTTAGAAGAATGTTTTTCTATCCAATCCGAAAAAATCAAATCATAATCAAGTTTGTGGGTGATTTTTATGGACTTTTAATCCTTCTAAGAACAGTTTTTTTTTTTGTAAAAGCATGAAAAAGTGTTGGATAAAAAGAAGTTGATTGAGATTTTTGTAGATCTAGCATAATTAGACAAAACTTAAATCTTTTTGAAATCAATCGTAAAAATTTTGAAACAACAAATTGATCAAAACAAGTTATTAAAGGTTTCCAAACGTTATTATCAAGATCAAAAATTCTTGAGTCATAATGCTAAAACAAACATTCTTAAAAGTCGGAACAAAACAAAATGAAATTTTTACAAAAATCTTACAAAATCTCAATTAACTTAAACTATCCAGCTCTGAACTTATTATCATGGAAACCAAACAGATCAAAGTGCTTTTTGTGTCCCGAATAGTCGGACATAATTTTTGGACATTTATAGCTTTCTCTCCTCCTTGCCTATTTTTTATAGTGATGAATAATACAATCTGGTTGATAGTAATAAAAAATTTGAGATTCTTCCGAATTTTCAGTCTTAAACAGTTGTTGGAACCGAAAAATCGAAAGAATCTAAGAAATATCACATTCTGTCTTATGCAGGTTTCAATGAAAATTAAACAGATTGACAAATTTTTTTAATAGAATGATAAAATGAAAATCCTATAGAGGTCAGAAAAATGGGAAATTAATAATTTTTTAATTTGGAATGATTAAAAATGAAAATATAGAAAAATTATCAATTCGTAATAATTGCAAAAAAAAGTGCTAATTGAAAATAATATTATTGAATATCCACATAAATACATTACCATACAAATAGTAAACTGGCTTTATTAAGCTCACAAATGTTGAGAAAATAAAATTTTCAAGGAATTTTATTTATTTTTTTTTTCTTCGAACAAATATTGTTCTTAGAACGAATTTTGTAATGATGCAATAATGAAGTTTTGTTGGAATTGGAATTGAGTAGTTTCTTTGAAAAGGATTATTTTTGTTAATTTAAGAAAACAACTAAAATCATTTAAATTAATAATATTCAAAATTAAGATGATTTGATCTATTTACAAAGGATTTGTACTATTTAAGCAATTTCATTCTGATATTAACCAAATTCTAAACATTCAAACTGATTTCGATTAATTTTTGGAAACCATTTGGATCAAATCTTGCATTGTTGCTTATGTTTTAAAGTTTAAGCAATTTGAAACGGTTTTTAAAAACTAGAAATTGAATTTTAAAAACTATTCCAAGTCAATAATTTCATTTTTTGAATCTATTTCAATGAATTGCTTTAAATAATTCAATGTACAATTCCTGAGAACTTCATGAATTCAACAAAAATAATTAACAAAGCATGAATTACCATACAATTCATAATAAAATGATATACCTTTATGTATAATAATGAAGCATAAAAGAAAGATAAATTAATTTTACATTGCTGTGGAATCATAGATTCATTAGATATTCGATTTCATTGAAGAATCAATCGAGAATGGTTGAAAGATTTATTTTGCCAGAACATGATGTAATGATGAATAGACATCTCACGCTATTAAAGAAAAATATATTATATATAATCTAATAGAGAATGAATAACAAAAAAATATAAGTTAAAATTGAAGAAAAAAAGAAATGAATGTATTTTGTAGTCAGGAAAGAGTTATTGAAATAAAGTGAAAAAATGTTAATTTGATGAAAAAGATATTCAATTGATTTTCAGAATTTTCGTTAATTTATTATTCATAATTAAATGGTTCAACATGTGCTTAATTTAGATACTCAGGGATTTCCAGCATTTAAAAAATTTCAGAACTATTAATTTTATATTTATTATGATCCGAAATAAAATTAAAGGACCTTAACTTAATTTCAGAACTATCTGCAAATTGAGCTCAGTTAATCAAATTAACAATTGGGTTATTTAAATATATTCTTGTTTTATTCGATTCCCTTTATTTTTTTGTTTTTTCACAGTTATAATCCTTAACGGTTTTTAAAAATTCAAAAATATTTGCGTAGTAAAATTTCAAAACGCACGCAAAAGTTGTTTACAAATCAAGCAAATATTTTACTCCTCAGAATCAATTAGTTTAAACCCGGAAATACTTAATTCTAATTTATAAAAAGGATCAAGAACAATATTTACACTGTTTAACAATGAAATAAAGTTGAAAGAAGTAAGTGACTAATGAATTTTATCGAAATATTCAACTTATTTCCTTATTCTTACAGCATCAAACAAACAATAAGATCACCGACGTCAATAACAGGTTTTTAATACCAAAAATTCCCCAACTGACCTTGAAGAAGTATTGAAAACAGATTTATCATATAGAATAACATCCGAGAAACAAAATGCCAGATATAAAAGTAACGTGTTTAGGTGCTGGACAGGATGTCGGTAGAAGCTGTATATTACTTAGTATGGGCGGCAAAAATATTATGCTTGATTGTGGAATGCATATGGGATTTAATGATGAACGAAGATTCCCAGACTTCTCTTACGTTGCTCTCGAAGGTCCTTTAACAACATACATCGATTGTGTAATTATATCTCATTTTCATCTGGACCATTGCGGTGCACTTCCTTACATGACAGAAATTGTTGGTTATACAGGACCGATCTACATGACACATCCAACGAAAGCTATAGCACCAATTTTATTAGAAGACATGCGAAAAGTCGCTGTTGAAAGAAAAGGAGAATCGAACTTCTTTACAACTCAAATGATTAAAGATTGCATGAAGAAAGTTACAGCTGTAACACTTCATCAGTCGGTGATGGTTGATAATGATATGGAAATTAAAGCGTATTATGCAGGACATGTACTTGGTGCTGCAATGTTCTGGATTCGTGTTGGAAATCAATCAGTTGTTTATACTGGTGATTATAATATGACACCAGATCGACATCTTGGCGCTGCAATGATTGATAAATGCAAGCCAGACTTGTTAATCACAGAATCAACATATGCAACAACAATTCGTGACTCAAAACGTTGTCGCGAAACTGATTTCCTTAAAAAAGTTCATGAATGTGTAGCGAAAGGCGGAAAAGTTTTAATTCCAGTATTTGCATTAGGAAGAGCTCAAGAGCTTTGTATTCTACTTGAAACTTATTGGGAACGAATGAATTTAAAATATCCAATATACTTTGCATTAGGTCTGACTGAAAAAGCCAATAATTATTATAAAATGTTCATCACATGGACAAATCAGAAGATCCGTAAAACTTTTGTTCAACGAAATATGTTTGATTTTAAACATATTAAGCCATTTGATCGTGGATATATTGATAATCCAGGGTCGATGGTCGTATTTGCAACACCTGGAATGTTACATGCTGGACTGTCACTTCAGATTTTTAAGAAATGGGCACCAAATGAAAATAATATGGTTATAATGCCTGGCTATTGCGTTCAAGGAACTGTTGGACATAAGATCTTAGGTGGAGCAAAAAAGATTGAATTTGAGAATCGACAAGTTGTTGAAGTCAAAATGGCAGTTGAATATATGAGTTTTAGTGCACATGCTGATGCCAAAGGAATTATGCAATTAATTGCCAATTGTGAGCCTAGAAATGTCCTCTTAGTTCACGGTGAAGCTGCAAAAATGGAATTTTTGAAAGACAAAATTCGTGAAGAATTTAAAATTGACTGCTTCTCGCCAGCAAATGGAGAAACTTGTGTCATAAGGACACCATTGCGAATACCAATCGAATGTTCATTAAATTTAATTAAGAAGGAACTTAAAGCTTATAATGCTCAACCGCCAGATCCAAAACGTCGTCGATATTTTAATGGTATTTTAGCAATGAAAGATGGAAAATTAATTTTAATGGATCTTCCAGAAGTCTGGAAGGAATTTAATGGAATCAATAGACATGTCATCAAGTTCTCATCTCTAATTAAACTCGAAACAGCATCAACCAATTTTCAAATTGTAGAAGAAATTCACTCATTGATAAAGGATAGATTATCAGCATGGGAAGTTAAAATTGTCGATGGACAGTCAATTATAATTGAAAGTGTTGTTGTAAAGCTCAATGAGGAGAATGCTGACAAAAATCTTTGTGTAAGTTGGGAGAGTCAGGATGAAGATTTAGGACGTTACATCTTAGGATTGCTTCAAACAATATCATAAATTAATAAATGAATATGTATTATAATTAAAGTTTTTAGGATTTGGTCATTTCCAGAGATTTCTAAGGATCTTCAATTTTTATGGAAATTTTCTTAATAAAAAAAGACAAGTAAAATTTATATAAAGGCTGCATTTAGGTCTTGTTCTTTAACAGGTGTCTGCGAAATATCTGCGGCACATACTATATGAACGTTATTGTATCGTGTATGTAGAAGAAAACTGAAGAAGCTAGCAGAAGTCGATAAATTGCTCGGTACTGAAACATGCTTATCACTAACTTAGGTCTGCTTACTTAACTTTTAAAGCTCTTAAAAGATTGAATACAATTTTGCAAGACGACTTAATCTTCAACTTACAAGCTTACACAGATCTTTGGTTCACTGCTTACAAATGATCATTTTAAATAATTGTTTTAATGGTTTTGAAAGAATTAAATTTAAAATCAATTTCAATAAGTTCATGAGCCTTTTGGCTAAGCAATATAAGACCTCCATCGTTGCTTCAATTATTCAATACTACATCATACATTTAGAAACTCCACTACGTGCAATTTGACGCTATTATTATGTCAGCTAGTGACGATTAAACCTAATCTCAAGTTCAATTCCTTATCAAATTCATGACGATTTGTTTTGATTTTTGTTCCTTTAGTATTTGTAAAAAGAAATCATTACGAGGATGATAAAGGTTCAATGTTATGTGAGCGAATTCTCATTACCTTCACATACTTGATTCAGTCTTAATTGTACAGTCAAAGGAGGCAGAAGGGAAAAAAGTTGAAAATGGATCTTTTATTAATTTTTATTGTGTCAATTTGCATCTTTTTTGGATGGTATTATACTAAGTTCCGTGAAACTTTAAAACTAGCAGCAAAATTGCCAGGTCCACCACGTTTACCATTGATAGGGAATGCATTAATGCTTGCAGGAAAATCGCCAGTTCAATTGCATAATACATTTACTGAGTGGGCTTCCAAGTGGCCTAGAATCACATGCATAATGCTTGGTCCACAGTGTGAAGTTTTAATATCGGATCCAAAGCTTGCAGAAGTATTTTTGAGCAGTCAGAAGCTTATTAATAAATCAGATGAGTACGACTTCTTTACTGCCTGGATTGGAACTGGTCTTTTAACATCTACAGGACGAAAATGGTTCGCAAGACGTAAAGTTATCACGCCTGCATTTCACTTCAAGATTTTAGATCAATTCGTTGACATTTTTGACAAGCACACAGACATTTTTATTGATGTTTTAAAAAAGTCAAATGGCAAGCCAATCGATGTATTTCAACCAGTTACACTTTGCGCTTTGGATAACATTTGCGGTAAGATTTTCATTCCTGATAACTCTTATCATATCTCTGCCATAAGTTGCTAAGAAAAAACCCCTTTAATCTCAGCCACTGTGTAATTTTAAAGGTTCGTTGTCGTGCAACTTGTGTGACAATCAATTCCTTTAAGTAAATGTTGCATGCCATGTGTCTTAGTAGTTGAGATATTGTGTTATTTATTAACTATGAATTTTATATTGTTTATACAGAAACTGCAATGGGAATTGATATTCAGGCACAGATTAAAACAGACTCGCTTTACGTGCAAGCTGTTAAGGAGTAAGGATTATTTTTAATGTGTACGGTTATTCACTTGTGATGTTGAATCAGGGGTCATTCAGGGTGTCAAACTTTGAGTAAGAGTTATCTGGTTCCGATTTCTCTGGAGCTACTCATTCTTAAGATCGTGACATTCTGGGAATTTAAAACCTTGAGATTGCTCACTTCCCTCATTCGCCAGAATTATGGAAGCACCTTAAAATCCAATCTTCAATCAACGTCAATAGTGAATGGCCTACATACTTGAACTATCAGAATTTCATTGTATCCTATTCTACTCAAATAGAATCACATCACTTCTGATCGTCAGAATGTTTACCTTTTATCTTCGTCCTGATTTCATCTACAATTTATCATCGATAAAAAAACGACAGGATGAACTGATTAAAATTCTTCATGACTTTACCGATAAAGTAATTGTGAATCGACGTGAAGAGCTTATTAAATCCAAAAACAATAATTTAGACGAGAACAGCAATATAATTGACGAAAATGAAGACATTGGAGCTAAGAAGAAAATGGCATTTTTGGATGTTCTACTTCATTCATCAATTGAAGGAAAGGCATTGACAAATATGGATATTCGGGAAGAAGTTGACACTTTTATGTTTGAAGGACATGATACAACAAGCAGTGGAATTGCATTCTGCCTTTATAATTTAGCCAAACATCCTGAAATTCAGCAGAGGGCATATGAAGAAGCCATAAATATTCTTGGAACTGACTCAAGCACACCAATCACAACTACAACATTGAATGACTTCAATTATCTTGAAATGGTGATAAAGGAGACGTTAAGGCTTTATCCAAGTGTCCCAATGTTTGGTAGAAAAGTACAAGAACATGTTCAATGTGGTATGTGATCATGTGACATAAAAATGTGTTGCAGACATAACTTACTGACTGCTGTCATTTTCAGGTCCATATTTGATTCCAAAAGGTTCAAATGTCGCAGTTAGTCCTTACTTTATGTCTAGAGATCCAACTTTGTGGGAAGATCCTTTAAAATTCGATCCAGAAAGATTTTCTTCGGACAAACAACAATCACATCCATACATTTATGTCCCATTCAGTGCTGGCCCGAGGTACTTACATTTGCTGTGTGCTGTGCTTACATTCTTATCAAAATTTAATTTTTTTTTTCAGGAATTGTATAGGTCAAAAGTTTGCGATGCTGGAAATGAAAATAACAGTCGCAAAAGCCTTGAAACATTTTGAAATGTCTGTTGTGCCTGGTTTTAATCCAATTGTTATGTCAGAACTTATTTTGAGACCTGAAAATGGAATTCGGCTGCAACTTAAAGAGAGGAAAGCTGTTTAAATGTTGTGCCTATTTTTGACTAGTCGTGATATTTTGTGAAGCAATTGATTATATTGATATCTTAATGAACAAAATGTGTTTATGGATTGTTGACTTTTTTATACAGAGATTAAAATTATATTTTATGAATGAAGTAAAAGATTTTGTTTAAATTTTACGGACGTTTTGAATTAGAATCACTATGCACTTGTAAATGCACTGCAAACGTGACAGACACATACTTTACAGCACAGATTTCTCTTATCAATGACGATTTTGATTTTCGCTGTGGGGGGCTTTAATCAGGATCAAGTAAAAATATCTTGAAGATAAACTGTTCACACTTAAAAATTTCAACACAGTTCAAGTTTGACTTTTAAAGGAACCAAAAGAAAATGGACTTGCTTCTGTTATTCATTATTTCAATTTGTATATTTCTTGGATGGTATTATACAAAGTATCGTGAGACATTAGCTATCGTGTCTAAATTGCCTGGACCTCCACGATGGCCAATTTTTGGAAATGCTTTTTTATTTATGGGAAAATCACCTGCAGAACTGTTAGTAAAGCTCACAGCTGTTGTTGAAAAATATCCAAAATTTACATGCTTAATGCTTGGACCACAACCAGAGATTTTAATAATGGATCCAAAATTAGCAGAACAGCTTTTAAACAGTCAAAAACTAATCGACAAGGCAGGCGAATATGACTTTTTACTCGACTGGATTGGAACAGGTCTTTTGACATCCACAGGCAATAAATGGTTCCAAAGACGTAAAATTATTACTCCAGCATTTCATTTCAAGATTTTGGATCAGTTTGTGGAAGTCTTTGACAAGCACAGCAACATCTTTATCCAAAACTTGAAGAAATCAAATGGAAAGCCAGTCGATGTTTTTGAATTAATTTCACTTTGTGCTTTGGATAACATTTGCGGTGAGATTTGTTTTTGACTGATACTGCTTATCATATCTTTAAAGCAAAGGTTGTTCAAGAAATAGAATTACCCGCCTTAGATCTTGATGAACATTTGCTTTGTTGATTTAAGAACTTATTGTTTATAATATGTGTATTGTTAAGCATTTTAAGCCGAATGGATACTTTAGCGTCTTGCATATTATTGCATTTCCTTGAAATGTGCCTTCGATAGCCTTAGAAACTAGTCCCAGACATCGTTTACCATTAAATTAATTTCTACTTTTCAACACAGAAACTGCAATGGGAATCGACATACAAGCTCAAATCAAATCAGATTCAGTCTATGTGAAGGCTGTTAAAGAGTAAGCAAGTTCTTAATTTAAAAATTTCCATTTAAACCTTTAACAATCTTTCCTATCCCAGAATTACTTTATTGCTGATGATGAGAATTTTTACCTTCTACTTCCGTCCCAATTTCATCTACAATCTAACACCATATAAAAAAAGGCATGATGAGCTTGTCAAAATTTTACATGACTTTACAGACAGCGTGATTATGAATCGACGAGAAGAAGTTCTAAAATTAGAATTTGAAGAACTAGAAGAATTAGAGCAATTAAAAGCAGAGGAATCTGGTACTAAAAAGATTGATCATGAAGACATTGGAGCTAAGAAGAAAATGGCATTTTTGGATGTCCTTTTACGTTCCTCATTCAATAACAATCCACTGACAAACATGGACATTCGCGAAGAAGTCGACACATTCATGTTTGAAGGACATGATACAACTAGCAGTGGACTTGGATTTTGCCTTTACAGCTTAGCTAAAAATCCAGACATCCAACAGAAAGCTTACGAAGAGGCTATTCATATCCTTGGAACTGACTCAACAGCTCCTGTAACAATTAATCTTTTGAATGACTTGAACTACCTTGAAATGGTTATTAAGGAGACATTAAGGCTTTATCCAAGTGTACCATTGTTTGGTAGGAAGATGAAGGAAAACACTCAAATTGGTAAGCGCTTGTGCTGCTAAAAATTGAAGTGACACTATTGAATACTTTCAGGTCCATATTTAGTGCCAAAAGGGGCTAATGTTGGAGTTTGTCCTTACTTCATGGCTAGAGATCCAACTTTGTGGGAAGATCCTTTGAAGTTTGATCCTGAAAGATTTTCATCAAACAAACAACAATCACATCCTTATTTGTATACACCGTTTAGTGCTGGTCCAAGGTATGCTGAATTATTGTTCCTTAAATTTAATAACATTTATTTGGGATTTGAAATTAACAACAATTTTGCTCTATAGGAACTGCGTTGGTCAGAAGTTTGCAATGTTAGAGATGAAGACAACTGTATCCAAAGTTTTAAGACATTTCGAGTTAAGCGTTATGCCTGGTTTTGAACCCGTTGCCATTTCAGAATTGATTTTGAGACCTGAGAATGGAATATGGTTGCAATTAAAGGAAAGGAAGGTTTAGTAACTACAATGTACTCTACAAAGTGATATTTTTTGAAATTAATGTTTTATATGAATCAGGATAAAACCCTGATCAAGTCAATAAAATGATTGAATAAATCAATTTTTGAACGAAAGCTCAAAATTTAAGTTAAAACGTTTTTTTAAAACCCTTCAAATTCTCCAAAAATTCAAAAACCACACAAATGTTTTCTGAAACATCAAATTTGAATTTTTAAACACTGTTAAAATTTAATATCCTCAATTCAGTACACTTAAATGCACTCAACTTACGAATCATCCCCAAAAGGCTCATTAATAATTGATTAGATGAGGGTAATGAAATCAGTATGTTGTTTAATCCTGCAATCAGTGATAAGGTGATGAAATGTGATAACAAAGCTACTGAAATAATCGATATCAAATATTTTTAGAAATTCCCATTAATCCTTTGATAACGTATCCAAAAAAATTACTGATAATTAAAAAGTATATTTAAGCAGCACTTCAGATTTTAAAGTTTTAAGTCTTGATTTAATTTTTGACAGTCGGCATGAAGCTTCAAGTTGTATTGATCTTTTGTATGGCAATAAGTGCCACATTCGCACGGGATATTTCAAGAAGAATTGTTAATGGTGAGAATGCTGACATTGCTGATTTTCCACACGCTTTGGCATTATTCGATAGTGGACGATTTTTCTGTGGTGCTTCTGTGATTTCAAGATACTGGGCATTGACTGCAGGTAGACTAATCAAATTTATAAATTTTAACGTTTTTCAGAAATTCAAATCGAATGATTTGAAAAACATTTGTAAGGTTTTGAAAAAATCAAATTTTAAATTTCCGTTAAAAGCTCATTGTTTGGACAGAAACACAGCACCAAGTCTCATCAACCTCTACGGAAATTCAACAAATAGACTTACAGGCGGAATTCTATTCTTCGTTCAACGATACGTTAATCATCCACAATATCGTACCATAAGATTGAGCACAGGCCAAGTAATTTGGGATTATGATGTCAGCGTGATTGAAGTTGATCATGCCAATCCTTTAGATGCTCTTTTCGTACGTCCTACAATTTTACCAGCATCATGCTCATCTGCTTGTTGCGGAGCATGTGAAGGCACAGTCATAACACTCGCTGGCTGGGGTATTTTCATGATTTATAGCCAATTTATTGCAGTTCATAAAGTTTAATGTTTATTAGGTCGCACAGAACTTGGAATACTTCCAGTTAATCTACAAATGTTGAATCAAACAATTGTAAATCATACAGGTTGTGGTCCATTCTGGGAAAATGAGATTACAGACAGGATGTTCTGTGTTACTGCTGATTTTTATGATAGCTGTGATGGCGATAGTGGATCTGGAATTTTATTGACTGATCGTGTTAGTCAAATTGGATATGTCAGCTTTGGATCGTGAGTTGTTGAGGATTGAAGTGAATGTCCTGAATAAAGTTTAAAAATAATCTGTTATTTCCATAGAATCCGATGTGGCGATAACTCAGCCCCAGCCGTTTACGGAAGATTGGAACATCCTTCAATTCGTGAATTTGTTAGATCAACAACTGGCTTGTAAATCGTATCAAAAATCCTTACATAAAACTGAAATAAATATGACAAATTTATAGCAACAACTGTATTTTAATCAATTTTGTATTGCTAAGCATTCCCGAAAAAGTGTGTCACGCAGAAAAGAATCTGCCGTAAAAAAACTTACAGTCGCTATAAATAGAAACTGATTAGTATGAACAAAAATGTTCGACATCATAAATTAGAACTCATTAACAAGGTCGCGTCCTTGAAAATAAAACACGAACAAAATTTCAATTTTTTAGCTCCTCAAAAAACACTTTATTGCATGCTTAATCACTCGTTAAGTCAGAAAATTTTCTGCGAATTAAAATGCAAATCAATTAAAATTAGAGTACGGGTAAAATCATCATTATTAAACTATATATGGCATAAGAGAGATCTTTAATGACATTTTTTTGTAATTTTCTGCCTGAGAAATAAAATAAATTAAAATGACTGTAACTTAAAAATTAAATAATAGCAAAAAATCCTTTTTGTCAATGCCAAGTCATTGCAAACTATTTTAAAAGCTTTTTGTCAAAAATACTATGATTGTTCTCTAATATAATGTGCTCCAAAAAAGCGCATAAAGATTCAAAGCACTTGTCCATTTTTTTATCCTTAATTCTTATAAATTGGATTGAATATTAGAACCTTACAAATTATTTGATTATCATGTCAAAACCATACAAATTATTTCAAATATTGTTCCGATTGGCTGTTGTAAGGTTTTAGATTCAAACTGTTGTGAGGTTTCTAGAATTAGCTGTTCTAAGGTTTACAAATTTAGTAATGTGTTTAAAATTTTGTCAGATCTAAAAACATTTGTATGGTTTTGGACATAGCTGTACATATTAGTTGACACGTTGAAATGATTAATCCCAAACCTTTGGTTGTAAAATACTGCAAAATTGTTCAAAAAGATGATTTTGTCCATTATAGCACATTGAATTGTCAAAAATATGATTAATTTTTTGTAAGTGCAAATTTAAGATTTTTGTGAGTTAAAAATAATCTGTGGTTCTGAACGTAAACTAGCTGTTAAATAACGCGTTTTGATAATATTCTGATAATATCGCTTCTCGCTCGGAGAGTTTACGTAATAGACGATCGGAACGACCCCATAATTCTGCCATAATTCCGATATGTGGCTGTAATTGAAAGGTAATTAAGTATTGAATGTGAAGCCATGCTGTATGTCACTTACGTATTGAACTCATCCTTGTGAATGAAGACCAAGTTAACTCCAATTAGGGGTGTGATTAAGTTCCGTAAAATTACGTCATAAATCGATCGAATAATGTTAAATAGTCGAAAAAGTCGCTTGTATGAACGCCAGCTTGATATATTATCCATCCAAATCGCACACATGAGATTTGGGAATAGCTTTCTTAACTGCAAAGGTTACATATTCATAGATAGCACAATGATTCAGATTCGGAAAAAATGTTCAAAAATTCCTTGTGCACAATATTTTTCCGACACATTAGAAAATTGAAAGTTTTTGTTAATTTCTTTTGATTTGATTCTTCTAGGGGCCGTTCACTTATTACGTTACGCAAAAAAACGACTTTTTTCACCCCACCCCCCCCCCTTGTTACAATATGTTACAACTCACAACCCCCCCCCCCCCCCCTCCTGAACGTTCATAATTTAAAAAAATGTTTTTGGTGTGAATTTAGAATTACCGTTTTTATTAATTTACGTTTTTTAGAACGTTACATACTTCTTGACACTCCCCCCCCCCCTAAGTTACATTTTGTTACAATTTTTCAAGCCCCCCCCCCCTAAAATGCGAACGTAATAAGTGAACGGTCCCTTAGCATTTTCTACATAATGTTTTCGTTCATTGCTCAAAAATCAGTCCTTAATATAAAGGATAAATAAACATGATTTTTTACCAAAAGTTTGTAAAAGTTTATCAAAAAAAATGTGCATGATCAAATTTTGTATGAAAATTTTTGTAAACTTTGATTGCAAATATCTCAAAAACGGCATCAAACGGCATTTCCTCAGTAATATGGGAGATAGATTTAAGCGTAATTAATTAATTTATAAAGGTTCCAGAGAGGTCTTTGGAAGACTTTTTAACTTATAAATAGTTTAAGTTTTGTAAAATTCTCAGATTTCAATTGCATTTTAAGACTTAATAAGCAGTTTTCTTTTGGTTTGGTAGTTTTAATATGCAAATCTAAGCTTAACTTAGCTAACAACAGCTAGCAAGATAAGGAAATAACAACTTAAAGTAGGGAAAATCAAAGAAATTTTTTCATATACAAAATGTAAACAAATTTTTGTTGAAAATAAATTAAAGATTTCTGGAGTTAAACATCCAAATGGAACGAGATATTTTCGCTGAATATGCCCTAAGATCTTAAGATCTTTAATCTGGCATTTAAAAGATGAAGTTTAATTAATATGTTATTTTTGAATTTTTGAACACTTTTTCTGAATCTGAATCATTGTGGACAGGCACAATAGGAACATAATTAACTTACTTTATAGATGATTATAGGCGAATTTGAACATAAAATGAATTTTTTGGTGAATAGTGGCTCATGAGTGGCTATTGCTTGCTTCAGTTTCTCGATAAATATTGCATTGCTTCCACTTGCATGAAGGATAACATAGAAATCGTCATTCAGCGGTTCCACAATCTTTATAAGGCAGTCAAGTGTCAAAATTTTCTGATCACCAAATTGATTGCTGGAAGTGACAAAAATCGTTTGAGATCATAAAATTATCAAAAGGAAGTTAGAAATTACCCAAGTGGATGTGTTGAAGATACATTAATGTCCTTAATCTCATTATAAGTCACTTTATTGACATCCTTATGAATATTAACCTTCTCTAATGTTTCTTTATCAAGCACTACTAGCTTTCCACATTGCGTCATCGATAGACTTAACAGGACTCTATGACACTTTTTAGAAATGCTCTAAATGGAGGAAAAAAGGAAGTGATCAAGAGCATATTTGGGGATTGATAAGCTACTTACATATTCAATGCTAGCTTTAGTGTTTTCGGGAACATCAAAAATGCCTCCATGAAATGCAATACAGTATGAGTTATTTGTGAATATCTTTGGAATAGGCGGTGACTTTAATTTAATGAATTTTGAGATGACAAAAAATAAAATTAATAACACGAAGAAATAATGAATTAAAAAGATTGTGAAATTGCTGAGAAACCACACTGAATTAACGATTGTACTGTATAGAAATGAAATTAGCTTTAAAAGAAACATATCTAGTTTAATTAATAAAAATCAGAAGTATTATTGCTAGACTTATTTATAAAATGAACTAGACCTGGTCGATTCCACAGATTAGTTGATTGTCGAAAAATGTGCTGTATTAGTCTTGAGATAGATAAACAAGTGAACTGTGTAAGTAAAGCAATCCCACTCACCCCATGTTACAAAGCATGACATTAATACTATCAAAAGATGAACGTAGTGTCATTATTGGAAGCAAAAGTTGGAAGTGCATGATTTAACCTCTGGAATTGCCATGCTTCGTTGCCAGTTTTCCAATAAAATTATTTGACTTTCATTTTTACGTTGAATTTGTATTGGAAGTTTTCCAATAATTCAATTTCCATTGGAATAAACCGTTGAAATTCCATCACTTCCAGTAAAATTGTCAATAAAAACATTAAATCGATAAAAATAAGACTCTAAAATGAACTGACAAATGATAAGCAGCACATCGAATGAGTCGCAAGCAGCATAACGGCTAAGAGCAATTCATATAGTTCGAAAATAACATTTCGCTTGGAGAGCTCGAAAAGTTTAGAGTGTGTGGAACATCATCACATATTAGAATTAAATTTCGCTAAAATAGCGCACAAAAAAAGGCGAATAGATTGTTGTTACAAATCCTTCGGTCGATATCTTTAGTTTTGTGTTTTTATTTGTTAATTTAAAGTGAACATTTCTTCACAATTTTTTATCATTATTTTAATAGAAATTTTTTATTAATTTCGTGTATAAAAGTGACAAGATTAAATCTAAGTTTTAAGCCATGTCATCAGCATTAAGAACGAAACCGTTTGGAAGTAAGAAGGATAAAAAGAATCCACCAATTCTCAGCCATGAATTTGTCATACAAAATCATGCAGATATTGTGAGCTGTATAGCTATGGTTTTTGTCGTCGGTTTAATGATGCAAGTAAGTAATGATGATCATATTCAACAGATTTCCGTCATCAAATATCCTTATCTGATAAAATATCATATCTACTGGATCTCACAATGAGCATTTCATTCATCAATAATCCGTAAAAAATCTCCAAAACTTGAATTATGTGGCAAAATCGTATGCCACGTCTACGTATTATAGTGTAGTGTGTTTAAGCATACATATAGATTTTGCGAGAGACGTTTAAAGAGGAAAAGAAAATGTATATACGGCTCCAGTGCTCCACATACACATTTCTTCTTTGCTCCCTTCTTTTTTTTTCTTGTTTCTGTTCCTCATATTTCTCTTACATTTCGTAACTTTAAGTGACTTGATCACTTTCGAAAAATATCATTACTCCTCATAAAGCATGAATGAAATATGTACGCATTGTGACACACAAGTGATATGAAACTTACGTCTACATGAATGAAGTGGATCAAATTCCTTTACACAATTTCTCCTCTCTCTCTATTTTTAGGCAACTAGTACATTAGCTAGCATTTTCATTGTCATGGGCCATAATGCAACCGATCCAACCGACGCTGCTACTAGGTAATATTTATTACACTATCATTATTTTTAATATGCATGCGTGGATGATGATATGATGATAATGATCAGGCGTGGAAGTTGATTAATCATAGTTTTAAACAAATTGTCGTGTGTTGTTTACCTTTATTGACTGATAAGTGCTTAGTTTGATTGTTTTGTTGATGATTATTGATCAAAAAACTGAACTAAAGCTGTCTAAGTTTGGTTCAAGCTGTACAGTTCATCTAAAATGTCTGAAAACCTTATAAATTCTTATTTAACTTAGAACCATACAACAGCTTCTTCTTCTTCTTCTTCTTCTTAATTAACTTTATTATGGTCCATCAGCTTATTGCTATTTAAAGACCGTTCACAATTCCAGGTAGTTTAATTTACAAATATACACAAAGAACAATCAATAAAATCCAGTCAACTCCAAATGATTGACAGAAAACATGCCCGCGATAAGTCAAAACAACAAAAAACCATCGCTAGGCAAAAAATTCCATCTTCAGTTGTCGATGATCCAGATCCCTTGACAGTCCTTGTAATTTAACTTGTGATATTTCAAATAGATTCAATTTTTTCTTATGTCTCGATTGTGATCTGTCAATTTAATTAATATGATCTGCTGTATTCCGAGATGATCGATTCCTGTTTGTCAATGTTGATTTGTTGAAATCCAGTCAGCGCCAATTGATTTTAATAGATTTGCCCGCGATATATGGGGAAACACACAAAACCCATCGCGAGACAAATTCTCCTCACAATTGACGATAATCCGTTGTATTTCAATAGTATTCAATATGTCTAGGTTATGGTTATGATAGAACCTTCTTGTCCACGATTGTTGGTAAAACACAAAAAACCCACGTGAAACAATTGATTCTCCTCACAACTGCCGCCGATCGTGATTTGTCAATGTAATTAAATGTTCGTTGGTATTCCGATGATGATCAATTCCGTTTTATCTAGGTTATGTGCGAAATTTGCACATTTTTTTTTTTTCAATTTCAATTTATATCCAAAATTTAATTAAATCGCGACTTTGCTGAGTTTTCTCCTTGGTATCTTTGTTCTTTGTTACTTTGAAGACAGTTCCCGTAGGTTTGTGACTTATTCCTACGCGTAATTAATTAATTTTGAAGTATTGCACAATTCCACAACCTCCTCATTCGGAGGTTGGGAGAAAACTCACCATACAACAGCACTCACAAAACAATTCAAATGAATTTAAAATGTCTTAGAACCTTACAAATTCCAAAAGTTTGAAAACCCTTCAAATTCAAATTCAACTTAAGAATCAATAACTCAAATATAAAGGCGAGGAAAAAAATTAAATCTTGTAAATCAAAAGCGCTGCAACGCATCAAGGTCACTGAACCGCTATGTCTGTAAACATTCTCTATATGTAAGCAATGTAAACAAAAAAGGGAATTAGCTCATTATAATATGTGTGTCGTGCTTGACTAATTTGCACATCTTTTTTTTCGTACACATTTAATCAACTTCAACGTCTATGAATGACCATTATCTTTTACTACATGCTTGACTAATTATGAGTTAATGATGATAATAATATTTACTGTCTTTTCAGAGGTGAACCATTCTTGTACGAATCAGGCTGGAGAGATGGACCTGCCGTGTTCTTTTACACTCTTATTTGCATTATAATGCACGCAATCTTACAGGAATATGTTTTAGATGTAAGATAATTAAACAAATAAGAAGAAAATTGTTGAAAGTAATGAACCCAATTTAATTTTAATTTTTAGAAAGTTTCAAAGAAGCTTCATTTATCAAAATTCAAACTTTCACGATTCAATGAATCTGGACAGCTTGTGGTATTTTACTTGGTTTCATTTTTATGGGGTGGCGAAGTAATGCTCCGTGAACGATATGCTGAAAATATGTCTAAACTCTGGATTGACTATCCAATTCATCCAATGACATTCTTACATAAGCTCTATTTCATCATTCAATTGGCCTACTACCTTCACATGCTCCCTGAATTATATTTCCAGAAGATTAAGAAAGACGAGCAAGCACCTAAGATGCAACATTCCATTGCTGGACTCCTTATTATTGGTTTCTTTTACTTCTTTGCTTATCGTCGTGTTGCTATTGTCCTTCTTACTCTTCATTACTTTAGTGAATTTGTTTCACACACTTTTGGATTACTCGAAGTCTTCGACAAGGAAGAGAAATACGCTCGATGTGAGTATCTTTATCAGCTTAAAATTGACCTTTACTCTTCATATTTTTCGGAATTTTGGTTTACTTTTTATGAATTTTTTAACGTCTTTAATATTTTGAAGTTTTACGGATTTTATGGATTTAAATTTAAATGAACCCCTGGAATTTAAATTTTGAACAACCGTTGTCAATCCCGGGATTGCATAACATTCCCAGATTTAACTAGCATGTTTCCTATAAAAATATTAATCAAATTTGATTTATGAACATAAACTGACCTATTTTTCGTCACAATTATTATTTTTTAGTCCGCATTTTCAACAACATCATTTTCCTGATAACAGCATTCTCAACATTAGTCCTTTCCTTCCTCACATTCTTCACCGGAATCGGAAAGACAAATCCAACACGCGGTATGTTGGGTCTCGTTATTGCCTTCGCCATTCAAGGATTATTAATTTTCCGTTTCATCACATCCTTCCTTAAATCAAAGCGCGAATCAAAGGAGCAAGCCACAATAGCAGCTAAGCCACTTCTCAAGAAACCTAAATCGTCGGAAAAAAAGAGTGAATCAAGTAAGAAGAGCAAGAAGGAATCAGACTTGCCCGAGGCTGATCAAAATGTGAACCAAAAGAAGGTCAAGACCAAGTAAATTGCAGCACATTCAGACAATGCACAGAACATTCTATTGTTGATGTTGATGTTTTTTTCTACACAATTTCCAACGGAAAAATATGAAAAAAAAAGTTGTAAAAATCCAAATTTTCATTCTTTTAAAGTTTTTCTTTAATTATATTAATTTCACTGGTCTGATCAAAAGAAATGGATTTAATATTTTTTTATGTTTTTCCTTGCAAAACTTCATTTCCTTCCAATAAAAAAAAAATGAAAATCATTTAAAATTTCTTTATTTTTGATATCAAATTTTTAAGACACGTGCTAGACGACGAAGTAAGAAAATTTTTCAAAAAAAGAAATGAGAGATAAAAGAAAAATATTTTTTTAAAAGCTTAACAAAAGATTTATTAATTAAAGTTTAAAAAGTAAAAAAAAACTTATTTTATAAATTTCAAAATTGTTTAAAAGTTATAATAATCATGGACGGAAAGATTAGACTAAAACCGGTTCTTAATTCTAATTCCTCTTCTCAGAAACTCTTATTTTTTGTTGTTATTGTAAAAATGAAGAATTGTGTTCTATTCGAATTTTTTTGTTTTAATTCCTTTCTGTCTGTGATTTTATTCTTTTTTATTTTCGTTAATTTCTTTCGGGGAGCTTGAGGATTGATTGAAAGCGGTCAACTGAATACGAATGGAATTTTATAAATTTTTTGAGATATTTTGCTTTATTTGGGGAATTGACGTATAGACAATATTGACTGTATAAGTCCAAGAAAATCATTCAATTCAATTGCTTTTAAATACCTGAATTTAAAACCATTCAAATTCTCTTTAAGAATGAAAACCATACAAATGTTTTACTAGCGGTTTATTAAAATATAAAAACTAAAACCATACAAATTACTTCATAACGTTCGTTTTAATTTCAAATAATCTAAACCCATACAATTCCTTATTTTTGTCGAATAAAACCATACAAATTCAACCAAGGTAGCTAATTTGGATGCTTATTCATATCAAGGATATGTAAGCACAAATGATGATTTGATGGTTCATTTCCAACTTCAAACGTCCTGAGTACTAAAATCAATCTCAAACTCAATTTTCAAGGATAACAAATTTCACAGTTATCTCAAAGTTACCTCAAATTTCCAATTTACAATTTTAATGCATGATTCAGAATTTATGGGTATGAATATCAAGTTTACCATTAAGATTTCCTGATTCAAGAACACCCCAGACAACAAGAATCTAAGCAAATAGTTATTCTAATGTATGAAATAAATATTTGACATGCTTAAATAATTCGTTTTTCAATATTCATCAGTCTATCGTATTCAATCGACTTCCTCATCTTGTACTTTTTTTTTTAAAAAATCGTAAAAAAGACGATGTTTTTTTTGAAGATGTTAATTAACCATAATTGACAGACACAAAATATGAGAAGAACTTATCGGAGAAAATAAATAGTTTTTGTATGTATCAATGCAAAAAAAGCCAAGAGATAAAAGAATGTCTTATGTCTATATTCTTAATTTTAATATTGTCGCTTTTAGAACAAACCCGAGTGGCACAATAAAGGAGTCGAGACATCAACAAGTTGTCTTTTAAGCGGAAAATCATCAAACAGAAGTAGAGTCTTGACATGATTGTTGTCTGACGGTAATATGCAAATAACCCCTTATCTACATACGCTTTTTTGTGCAGCACGAGACTTGCATCTGTTTTACGAAATAATGTCATAAAATATGCCCTGAACGATGGATCCGAATGGAAGATTGTAACAATAATTGTACTCATGGAATTGAACGATACTTTGTTGATTTTCACCTGCTCCAACTTTTCCATCACTTCCACCTTTCTCCATTAATGAGAATATTGCCCTTGGATATTCATAGCTTATTGCTGTATCGCCGTTCCATGTGAGTTTTATAACATATGCGTGAAATGGAAGTAAAATCATTCGATCATTGAATTTAAGTCTAAACGACTCATTAAATCCAACATTTTCGATAATGTGATGCTGCTTGTAGATCGACTTATTGCTACATTTATCAAATATCTCAACATCCAAATTCTCTGTGTATTTCTGATTATTTATATCACACATATCAAAATGTTCAGGCATTAAACGAGAATTTACAGTTAGAGACTTTATAGCTACGAATCTCTTAAACGAGATATTAACATCAAAATTAAGTTGATCCCTATCGATGATGAGTGGCCGAACCGGCTTATAATAAACACGATGAAAGCTTTTTGAGGTCCGTTCAGTTTGCGTGATGTCAATGAATCCAGCCTTAAGTCCAATAATTTTCATACACAAGGAATTGTCGAGATTTAAAAGCTTTGTATTCACAGCCAATGATTCAGCACATGCCGTTATATTATCAACATGACATGCCTTAATCGTCCATGCTTTGATAAGGCACAAAATATCATCGCGATCGCCAAAATAATCAAGGAGATTTTTCGTAAGGAATTCAAAACATTGCGGTGACAAATGAACATCCTCATTTGCATTTAGAATCGCATTAAAAAAACACGCTCCGGCTTCGATGAAGTCGACGATGAAATAAAGGCAGGAAACGAGAATGTCCTCTAAATGATATTCAAATGATTTGGCGAGAAAATTAAAAATATTTTGGCGATTAAGGAGTTCTCCGAGTTTCTTGACGCACAACTTTCTTAATTCCTCGATGAGGTATTTTTGGGCACAATAGCTTATGGATACTAAACAGTCAATTTCGTCATTTTCTTTCAATTTTAATTCTCCAGTGTATAAAAAGTCCATAAATAATTCAAATGTGCTGTAGCTTATGTCAGTGATTAATATCGAGTTGGTTAAGTCTTGAGGGAATTTTCCATAAAACATTGCTTCAAACACCGGCGATGATGCTGCCAAAATTAACCTGTGCGAATTTATTACACGATTCTCTATTTTAAAGGAACAGTCTGTGTATTTATTGACTTGTCGCAGGCGAAAAAATCGTTCATTGAACTTGTCGTTGTCTGATATCTAAAAAGAAGAAGAATGAGAATAAAAGGAATTTAAAGTTATTATCTTATTGGTCCGCATTTTTGCACGCTTTTTGTGGCATGTGATGCATCGCTTTGTCTCGCTAGAATTTTATATCAATTAAAAGATTTATATATAAAGAATATTAGCTTGAGTGGGTTTTTTATAGGATGTAAATATTTAAAATGTTAAACCGTTAAAAAATATTTGAAAATTTAAACTGTCATTTGAGATTTAAATTTCATTGGAATGTAATGGAATTTAGATTGTTTAACTGGAAATTTCCTGGAATATTTCGAGAATTTCCAGGTAAGTTATGGAATTTATCATGAAATTTAAATAAAAATTAACCGTTAAATATTAATTTACAGCTACAAAATCAATATTTTTTTCAAAAACAATTCAGCGCTCCATAAATCCACTAGCGGCTATTAGTTTGTTTTTATTTTTCATTTGGGTTTTTTCATCTCCCTCGAATGACGACAAAAAAACTGATTGTTATTCGGTTGAAGTCATCTCAAAAATGTTTATCATCGCTTAACTCGTGCCTTAGAAAAGTCTAAATGCGTAGAAATGATTTATAATTGTGCTCAACAACCTGTAAGTTCCTTATACTTCTAACCTTCTAACAATCAATTTTAACCTTCATAAAGTTTTATTCTAACCATTTCGAGTTCACTTTGTGATGTTTGTTCTTCCATTGTTGGCTAGACTGCTTTCCTTATCACCTGCACTAATTTATATATATTTTTTTCAAGTCAGTATATAGAGCACAACGAATGTATATAGTCACGATTATTATTTTTAAATACACCAGCTAGATTTATAGTCACAAGATTCTTCCTTTATTTTTTTGATATTCAAATTACGTAATTAAATCTCTTATTTTTTTGCACTGTACGAGAATAATTGTTGAATCAGAAGCAACACCTACAAAACGCTATTTAGAACTGTTCGCGCTTCTCCTGTGCTTATTTCGTCTTTGACCATGAAAATGTAATGTTCTCTATTTCTCATATGATTTTTATGACCTCTCGGCTCACTGTATATATTGTGTATGCACGGCTTCTTCTATTTAGTTTTGTTCTCAGCGCAAAATAAATACAAAAAGTTCTCTCGAGATTCTCTGAGTAAATTTCGCGAATGTATGAATGAGATGTAGTTTTATCAATGTTTTGGTGTGTTTGCTTAGAATATCAGGGGTTCTTAAATTTTGTGGTATGATGAATTGACACGTGTTGCATGACAAAGGAGTAATTTTACTTGTTTTCAAGCAGTACTAATTGTACAGTTCTTATTATAGATATTATATGATACACTGAGTTCTAAAAGACTCAATTAGTATGCCTAGATCCACTTAGATACACCCTCAAACTGAAATGAGTTGGAATGCGGCATATCTTATCTGAAATAAGTTAAAAATATTTACCCAATCCCTCAACCCTCAAATCACGCTATTTATTCGAGACGTTAGTATATCCTAGTTCTTTTAAAATGTAGACAAAAGTGCCAAATGTCAAGAAACCCTGTCATAGAATCACCCAGTCAGCGAAAAATGCTTGCGTAATGCCGATAAAAAAAAATTTCCTTTTCTGTGAGAATAAGCGTGGCTTGCTCTTCGCTCTCGACATTCAGTGAGTTAAAGTCGAAGAGTTCAGTAGTAAGTGAGACATAAAAGCAAGAAAAAAAAAGGTTTTTCTTAATCTTGCGTAAAAAAATCACGTTTCATTTTTGTGTACGGCTTATTTTTGTCGGTATCACTAAGAAGAAGAAACACGTGATATAAATAAGACAGGGTGTCTATAAAGTCATCAGACATCAACAAACTTTTGGAAAGTTCTGTAGACTGGCAAAAACAATAAAAGACGGAAAGATAAAGGAACTGATAATGAAAAGTTAAGATAGGTGCAAGATATTTATCGTTCAGTTGCTAATTGAGTGCATCATGGAACAGTGGCTTCGTATTTCGTTAATTTTATGTACCTTTGGGTTCTTTCGAGAATTCCGTCCGTCAGAGCCTTTTGTGTCTGATTTCTTGATGGGAGAATGGAGAAATGTGACTGAAGATCAAGTTAATTTTGAAGTCTATCCAATTGGAACTTACTCTACACTCGGACTTTTAGTTATTGTATTTTTAATAACTGACATTTTAAGGTAGAATAATAATATCTTTTATTCCATTATATAATCCTGTAAGTTCCTCATTCAATTGCCAGATATAAGCCAATAATCATTGCGTCATCAATTGCCGGTATTATTATTTGGTCGATATTATTGTGGACGACTTCATTGCTCGCCCTTCAAATCTCACAATTCTTTTATGGGTTTTATTTTGCCGCCGAAGTTGCTTATTACACGTAAGTCTAAGGCGACACATTCCAATTTAATGAATGAACATGCAATCACATCTTCTCTCTTTATGTTTATTTTTATACTATTTATTAAAGCTATATGTATGCAAAAGTGGAGAAGAGTCAATATCAGAAAGTGACAGGGAATGCAAGAGCAGCAATTTTAACCGGCCGGTTTTCTGCGAGCATTTGTGCACAAGCTTTATATTCGTTTGATATCATGAATTTGAGAGAATTAAATTACCTGACACTTGGCGGTGAGTCTTGTCTATTGTCTTTTTGCGTAATGTGACTTATAAGGAATAATGTAAACTACAAAATTTTAAGTGGGTCATTCAATTCCTTTCTGTTTCGTTCTTAAATGGGAAATATTTTTTAAGGAGCCAATTTTAGCATTTGACATGATGTCTAGTTAGACTAATGTCATTTTCTTCTATATTTGATGTTTCAAAATTAAAGTTGACAATCTCATAAAAATCAACTGTGAACCGTAGATCATTGCATGACTCTCTTTATTTCACAGATATGTTTAGATTCCTTTCAATTAGAATCTATTAAATCAATTCATAATTTTATCAAGATTCAGACTTTTCACAACTCTAATTCATAAGTTTGCGACAGCATAAATATTTAGCATCTATTCCTTTATTATCACTCAATCACATTGCATCATGTGTTAACTAATTTGATCTTTGTAGTTTCACAATGAATTGACAGATTGATTCTTTTCTATTACAGCTCAGACGATCTCATTGTTTGTCGGCTTTTTGTTGCCATCAGTAGGAAGAAGTTTATACTTTTATTCAGTCCCAAACGACGATACACAAAACAGCTCATATGGAACAGACAATTCGTCGCAATCTGATACCAAAAAAGAATTTAAATCGAGATTTTCAACGAGGCAGGCAACGTCGTTGCTATGGAAGCATTTTATAGACTCTTATTCTAATCCAACTGTGGTTCAGTGGAGTTTTTGGTGGGCATTGGCTATGGGTGGATTCTTCTTAGTGCAATTTTACGTACAAATTTTATGGATGGCTGTTGAAGATCGAGATCATCTGTTCAATGCCGGTGTAGAGGCAATTTTAACAGCTTTTGGTGCATTGAGTGCATTCTTAGCTGGATTTTTAACCAGTAAAACATTTAGAAAATATGACATGTGGGTGCTGACAGTCTGCTCACTACTTCAAGGAATAATGATTGTAATATCATCACAAACTAATCAGATTTACATTGCGTACACAATGTATGTTCTATTTGGCGTAATATTTAGTTTCATGATAACGTTAGCAACAGCATTTGTAGCACAAGAGCTGGCCGATGACAGTTTTGCCCTCATTTTCGGTATCAATACATTAATAGCTTTAATATTCCAAACAATCATAACACTAGTTGTCATGTCATGGCTAAATCTTAACATACGACTCCAATACTTAATATTTGGTTGCTACTTTATAGCTTTATCAGTAATTTATCTCATAGCATCTGTAGTTAAGATGATATTCTATAAAAACTCAGGTATACAACAAATAAGTGAATAACTGAAACATAGTTTATGGAACAAAGATACTTTAATAGTAATTAAGTAGCACAAAAACCTCGTCTTTTTTTTTTTGATATGAATAAATTTTTTATTTATTCCTTATTGATATCTTTAGAGAAATATGTAGCATATAGTTGAGATAGAGTCAGGAAGAAAAACATTTTTATAAAATAAAAATTTGATTTTTTTAAATTGATATAATTTATAGATAGTTTTTTGTTCTCGAATATGTAACTTCTTTGTTTTTTTAGATCACTAAATTAAAATGGTAATGAATTGGAATTGATTTGAAAATTATTCATGTTAGGATTTTGAATTTTCATTTTCATTTGTTTTGCTTTTCAATGATGTTTTAAAATTTACATTTATATGGTTTTAAACATTTTTAATTCTAATTATGAACCATTCAACAGTTTTGATATGAAACATTTGTGAAGTTCTCATTAATTTTCATCGCTAAAACACTACAAATTCGTCATTATTTGCCTATAAACCTTACAACAGTCATAAGGAAACATTTATAAGGTTTTAATGTTTTAAGTAAGCTATTGTGATGTTCTAAATTTAAATTTAACTGCTGAAGCAAAGCAAAGCTCTAATTGTAACATTCTAAGCATCTAAAATATCCCCTAAATCCATATAAGTGCCATTTCAAGCATCATATGAGCAAATATCTCTTAAATTCTAATCAATAATTTTGAATCCACTTCCAATTCCTTTGTAAACCAAATATTGTTTATTTTTTGTTCTAGAATTTTAAAAATTCAACAGTTTTTTTATGTCCTAATTACTTTATAGTCTAAAAATGCGACTCGAGCGGTTTATGCATTGGAGATCTTTGGACTGCGATAGATAAAGAGAAAAAGAATAAGAGAAAAAAAAATATAAAAAAAATCATTAAGTGGGGTAAGTAAAGGTATTAAAACAATACTTGCTCATACAAAAGTTTTTTAATTGATCCAAATCATAAAAAAATAAGGGACGAAATCAGGTCATAAAAAAGACATTCACAAGACGATCAAAAAATAATACTTCAAGCCAATAATTGAGCAGCTTTCATGCATATATTAATGGTTAAATGATATATATCCATTTTTTTTTCTTATCACATCGATTATATCTAAAATAATTATTTTTTTGTTATCCCAGTTTTGAAATTGAAGTTGAAGAAATGGTCAATTTAAAGCACATCAGTGTTGCTGCTGGAATGATTTGTATCGTACAGCGATTGCCAAATTGTGCGTCTTCTTACTTCTGAAGGTTCTTAAAAAATGAAAAATTCTTTAGTTATCAATTGTATTCAGGCTTTGGTGATTCTATGATACTCAGTTGTCTATAAACGAGTGAGTATCCAAGCCTTAGCTCATCAATAACAGCAATGTTTAAGGTACGTTACTATACATGCTTGCAAGCATAATGAAATGCTTCAATATATTCTAAGACAGGTACCTAAAGTAGCTTTAGTCTAAAACTGCATTTTAATGAATTTTTGAGAAGCAAAATGACAATGAAAGCAGACTTATGCACAATTTCTAATCTATAAACCTTCCCACAATTGACTACAATTTAATAAAATGCTTGATATGCTTTAAATGAATCTCACTTCTGGACACAACTTCAATATCTTCCGGGGTGTTTTTGTTGTTGATTTTATTAAGATTATTCAGGAGATTCATCATCCATGTGTCGCAAAGATTGATTAATTTGAGTTAATATAGGATATGATTTTTTAGTCCGTTTTTAGGGAAACAGTCATCGACTTTTGGTCCGCAAGATCATCTTCATCATCAAGTACTGATTCGTCCTTAATTGATTCCAACTGATCTGTTGTGATTTTGTCTGGGATAAGAGAAATTAATGATTTGATGATATTTTAAATTAAATTAAAAATGATTATGATGCTATATACAGCTTCGAGATGTAAATAATATGCATTAATCTTTCACATTCATAGCAATTTTTGTTTCTTCTTCATCATCACAGTTATTAAACCGTCAGCCAACAAGTAATGAAAATGAAAGCAGTTAAACAGAAAATAAAACAAAAGTAAAAACATCCAAATTAAAATAATTAAAAAAATTTCCAATCTCGGGTTAGTTAAGTGATAAATTGAGCAATTCACCTGCAGCTGAGTGAGATGATTGATTTGAACTGGATGGTAGCTTATTAAATGGATTTTGTCTTTGTCTCGGTGGCTTAACGGGCGTTTTTGGCTCATTTTTACTAAGTGTCTGATTTTTATTTCTATTGTCGATTTCTTCAAGTTGTCGTTGCAATTCTGCAACCATTAATTTCATATAGTCGTAGCTTGCGCATGTTATAGACTTCATCCAACTCTCCATCGATGTTTGACAGTCAGCGGACATAAAGTACGTACGAATCTCGCCTGGTGTCATGAATTGAATTTGAAAGCAATACTGTTGGGATTCTTCTTCGGCTGATAGTTCCACTGTGCCTAAAATTTGGATAATATGATAGCTGGATGTAACTGTAAAGTCTTGAGCCCTTTGTCGAAGATACAACATTCAACATTATGTGACTTATACAGTTCTACATTATACATTATGACAACAACTTAATGATTAAGAGATTGGTTTCTGGGGGGAATCGAACTCATGTCTTGACAAAAGAGGATCTGTTGCATACCTCATAAGTCCTACTCATAATAACAGTTTCCTAAGTATAGCTCGATATCTCACCACATTTAAACCTTGTCCATAAGGTAGCATAGCTCACACACTACAGTATAATATGACTGCTAAGAAACTTGTGCTTGATTCGAAATATTTCATCTACTTGGACAACATTTAAATATGCTCAATCCCTCAGATTCCACTCCACAACTGAATGTTCCAGAGTCAATTAATTTAAACATTTATTCAACTTACATCCTTCTAAAAGTAACAGCCCTAATGGTTCCTTATCCCCTTTCTTCTCAAAATAGAACAACAAGTTCCCTTTCAGCACAAACCATCGTTTACTGAATTTCGTGTCTCTTTTGAAATATAAATAGCCTTGAAATGAGCAATAAAGATTTTTTTTTGTTATTGTGAAAACTTTTTTTTTTATTATGAAACTTGACAACGCAATTAAGTCCTTACCTTCTCGGTCTACAGGCTTACTATTCGCAAATGTATATAGGTTCTTCTCGTTTATCTTCATTTTTAATGAAATTTAAGGCAACTTATCAGCTTAAATAAAGTTATTTGTTAATAAAAGATCTTAAACTAATTAGTCATAACGAAAATTAATGGAAATAATGTTCACACCGAGACTGTTGGATGTTAATTTACTGGAAGTGGGAGCTTAATGCAACAGCTTTTTATGCACAAAGCAACAATAAAATAATGATTCAACAATTTGAGAGCAATATTAATTTAATTTCTGATTATTCAGCTTAAAAATTAAGTTAAATCCTCAGTTCTATTGCTTACATTCAGTCAAATTCCGTCACATCCATTGAACTTTATATCTGATGTGAATATGTCTTGGAAGGCTTACTGACTTTCTTAAAAGTTGTTTATTGGAAGTCTCTCATTTACTGGAAGTATTGGAATGTTAAAGGATTCAAAATTCTCAATTAACGGTCGAAATGTATGAAATTGTGTAACGTGACACGTGCTGCTTATAAATGTTGATGTTTATCGGGCTATTTTTACAATGACAAGCTGTTTTGGTGAGACAAATATGGATATGATTGATAAGATATCATTTCCTTTTGTTTACAATCTATGGAAATTATCTTAAGGCTTCATGAGTTTTTATGAACCGATATAGCCTGTGGAGTTTGTATTTTTTAATGAAACTCAAAAACCTTACTCTACTGAATCAAGTCATGATTTCTTTGACCAAGCATTCACACAAAAAATTCCAACTAGCTTAACTTCTCGCCATCTCAACGTGAATACTCGAAATACTCTTATTATCTTAATTCTGTTTTGTATCGAACATTCCACTTCTTTTTGAAGTACGTACTCTATTACACTTTCTTTTCTTGTAATATTTGGCAGCCAACAAGTGCTTTGGATTTTTATTTAAAATTTGACTATATTGTGAGCTTTAAAATGGACACAGCTGAAAGAAAACACTCAGTTCCAGTGCTGTACGTTACAGGATCACATTATGAATGTGGATATGAGATGGTATACTTAATTTTAGTCAATTGCTTCAAATAATATCTAATCTTTCCAAAATATTTCAGGGTCGAACGTTCAAATCATTAATTTCGTCATTTCTGAGTTCTTCAAAGCTTCTGAATGAATATTTACTTCCAGTTTATGAATCAGTTGAAGGCAGAAAGGTCTATGACCAAACATTGAGTTTCGTAAAGGAAAAATATCCACAATATGTGAATGAAATTCAAGGAATTGCTGACGGATCAGATTCTGAATTGCACAAGGTAAATGTCAAGCAATTCTGAAGAGCCAGCATAAATTATCACTTTTGTCTATTTTAGTTAATGCTTTTCCACTTCGATGAAATTCTACCAAACGTTACGAATCAACATAAAAGCGAAATTGAGTCCAGTGGATGCTCAACAGTTTATTTGAACAATAGTTCCAATTCTCAACATTTCCTTACTCATACAGAAGATGCAGCAAATGAGTGCTTAAATTCATTCTATTTAGTATCTGCTCATGTAATGTCTGAGGAACCTTATGGGAAATTTAAAGTCAAGGAGGAAAAGTTCACAGCTCTTTGCTATCCTGGACATATTGGTGGATACACTATGGGATATAATACAGTGGGGGAAATAATTATAGGCGAATTGATATTTTCAAAATTCTCGAAAATATAAACATTTTCAGAAAATATGTTCTATGTGAAATTTGTGCAGCTTAATATGACAAATATCCCAGCGAAAAAATTTTTTAATTATATTAACTAGAAAAAAAATAACGGTCATTTTTTGAAAAATATTCGTTTCGCAAGTGGAAATAATTATAGGCGAATTTTGAAAAAAATTGTAGAATTTTACTTTAAACTTGAAATTCACTTGAATTTTCAATTGATTAAGTTATTTAAGCATTGTATTAATCTAATTTGACATTATACGCACAATAATTAATGATTTAAATATATAAAATTTGGTCTCGAAATTAGGAAGGAATAAGATTGCAAAAATCAATTTTTTACGTCAATTTGGCAACGATAACTCCTCGATTGCATATGAAATAATTAGATTTTATTGCAATTAACATAGCTCAATAAAATTTTGGTGAAAACATAGTCAGAAAAAGTAAAAATAAAGAAAAATTTTAATCACATGGCCAATACAAAATGAGAAATTTTTAAAATTTTCACTCAAATGAAAGTTTTGGCTACAAACTAAGGATGATTTCTACTTGCTTTTATCATATCTATGTTTTAAAGAAGATATTAAAAAGATTGAACAAGATATATTTGCAAAAATTGTAAAAACTTTGGTCAACTGGAACACATGACCTTGCAAAATCATAATTTGTTAAAAAAAGTTATAGTATCCGCAAGTAAATGATGAAAAGAGACATTTATTTATTATAATAGACAAATTATGTAATAACTGATAGTTTTGAGTGTTATTAGGATCATTTTAACAAGAATTTAAAAGCTTGCATTAAACGAGAATTTTATAATCATGCGCTTATTCGTAAATTGCGTTTTTTTGCAAATATATCTTGTTCAATCTTTTTAATATCTTCTTTAAAACATAGATATGATAAAAGCAAGTAGAAATCATCCTTAGTTTGTAGCCAAAACTTTCATTTGAGTGAAAATTTTAAAAATTTCTCATTTTGTATTGGCCATGTGATTAAAATTTTTCTTTATTTTTACTTTTTCTGACTATGTTTTCACCAAAATTTTATTGTGTTTATGTTAATTGCAATAAAATCTAATTATTTCATATGCAATCGAGGAGTTATCGTAGCCAAATTGACGTAAAACATTGATTTTTGCAATCTTATTCCTTCCTAATTTCAAGACCAAATTTTATATATTTAAATCATTAATTATTGTGCGTATAATGTCAAATTAGATTAATACAATGCTTAAATAACTTAATCAATTGAAAATTCAAGTGAATTTCAAGTTTAAAGTAAAATTCTACAATTTTTTTCAAAATTCGCCTATAATTATTTCCACTTGCGAAACGAATATTTTTCAAAAAATGACCGTTATTTTTTTTCTAGTTAATATAATTAAAAAATTTTTTCGCTGGGATATTTGTCATATTAAGCTGCACAAATTTCACATAGAACATATTTTCTGAAAATGTTTATATTTTCGAGAATTTTGAAAATATCAATTCGCCTATAATTATTTCCCCCACTGTAGTCATGGATTAGTGTATGTTTTTGTTGCTATCCTTATTTCCTTATTAACATCAATCTTGAATAACTTATTTTATAGATTAACGATAAATACTTTGGTTGCGAACAAACTGTTGATCAATAAAGCACGTGAGTTCAGAATTTTCCAAAAATTTAAATGTTTCAAAACCATACAAATTCAAGCCAAAATAACTTTTGTATGGTTTTAATCACAGTATTAAAATTTCTAAGGTTTTGAACGCGAATAAAATAATTTGAATGGTTTTCAAAAAAATTAAAATCTCAAAAAATCGTTAAAAACTTAATTATTATCATTAAAAATTTCTTCTCTAGCACGCCATTTCATCACAAGACAACTGATGACTGCCAGAAATTATGAAGAAGCAATGGAAATAATTAAAGATTCAGGATGTGGAAGTGCCGATGGATTTTCAATTAATATGAAATTTATAGGCAAGAACAATTCTTCAGACTTTAATAATATCGAAGTTGGACCAGCAATAGACAGCCAGTCACAAATGGATGTATTAAAAGTATCTGGAGATGGAAGCTTCATTCACTGCAATCATTATGTTAGATTGAATATCCAAGAATATAGCGACTATTACATGCGTGCTACAAAAGCTAGATATGAGACATTAACAAAGCTTCCAGAGCCAAAAACTAAGGAAGACATAATCAACATGCTAGGCGACACAAGTCATGACGAACATTGGGTTTTTAGGTGCAAATCAGACTATGGCACGAAAACAATATGTGTAGGAATCTTTGATTTTATTAAAGGAACTTGGTCGTTGTATAAAGGTAATCCAAAAGAAAATAAGCCTGTGGCTGTCTTGCATCTCGAAATTGATGCTTAAAAATTTTGTGTTACTTACTTGTTATTTTTGAATGTTATTATATACTTAAGTGAATAATAGGAATGTCATCCTTAACTTCTACTTTATTAGCATAAATAAAGTCATTCTCGATAATATTTTCATTGCAAAATTTCTTAATCTCCTCATTCTTGTCATATTCATCGATTTTATAGATGTCCGATAAAAATGGGAAGTTAGCAAGAACTTCAGGAATTTTGAAAATATTTTGGACTTTAACTTTGCAAATTAATTGCAGGTCAATCAGAACACATTCTGGCTTTCCATCACCTTGTGCCTTATTGACGATTGCACGATGCCATTGATTGTTGTATTTTACCAAGCATAAAGGCTTATTTCCATTAAATCCATAGCTTTTTGGATCAACTTTCATGCCGTAAGAATTTAAAGATCGATAAAATTCGTGAAAATCCTTGACATACTTTTCAGCAACACAGCAAATTCCGCCTATAGACTTTAATATTTCAGTATTAACAACAAAAAGCTTTTGATTATCACCAATTGGAACTAAATCAGCAACAGCGTCTACAGATTCTAAGGTTTCAAAACTGACTTGATAGAAATTTGAAAGCTTTATGATTTTTTCATTTACTGAATCGTTTGTGCTGTTGTCCTTAAGTTCCACCCCATTTTCATCAACATCCTTTATAACCAATTCTGTATTATTGTAAAGCAAGCAAGTGAGATATTTAATCACATCCATATTGATAGCTTTAACATTTATGTCCTTTAAAATGATGTTTGTTGTAATTATCTTTACTTTCCTGCATTCTTCGTTCATCTCATAGACATCATTGATGTTAACACATGCTGTATTGCCAATATCAGTTAATCTAACAAGGATAGATATGTTGCATTCATCTTCATCATCGATAATTAATATAACTGCACGATAGAAGCTGCCAAAGAGATTCACAATGACTTGATCTTCAGGAACTGGCATTTCCTTTATAGGTACACTGTTCTTTGCCTTTCTATTGACATTCTCAAGGATAAAGTTTAAATCCTCGTCGCACGGACGAACAAAAACTGACTTCTCATTAATTATAGCTGTTAGACAAACTTTATCGGACTGTTGAATTAGATAGCTATCGATTTGATCTTTAGATTCTTTGTTCATGTAAACATCATAACATTCTTTTGTGCAAAAATAGTGGCGAGTTTGTTCACAAAATAATGTTGCTTCTTGGTCACAGACACCGCAATAAAACGTGAGGAAATTTCTTTCTTTCAGCATCATGTTATATTCGAAGCAATCCTGTGAAAATAACAAACATTTATAACGACTCTTAGAAATTAGAAATTTATAACGGATTTGAGAAATTCAAAAATTGAACACTTCAAATGTTTTTCAAATCAAAATTTGTATGGTTTTGAAAAAAAAAATCGTTATTAATGTTATCAAGATTTGTAGCCATAAATTCATCAATCACCAGTCCTTATGCTTACCTCATTTTCGTCATACTCTCCTAATGACTTTTCAGCACGTTTCTTCAAGTATTTCTGTTCACGATCATTCAGATCTGCATATATTGGTCCTTTATACTCAAATTGAGACACTTTTTCAATGGAATTATCGTATTTAAAGCTTTCTAAATCAATAGATATCGAGATTTCTGGAACTTCCTCTTCAATGATATTCTTGCTTTGAGGTCTGGATGGTAATTGAGGAACATTTTCTGTTGCACATACTTTTGATTCAGGTTTAGTGTGTGCAAAATCAGCAACAATATCAAGCCCGTCCTTTTTAGAGCTGTTGATCTCACGAATAGCCTTCTCAGCTTCTCTAAAAGTCGAGTATTCAACGAAAGCAAAGTTTCGACTGTTTCTATTGTCCAAATCGCAAGGAACAAAAATGCTTACAACACGACCAAACTGTTTCATGATGTTGTGGATTGCATTCTTCTTTAGTGCTTGCTATTTAAGAGATTTAGAAATAGTTCATTACTGAAATTAATTAAGGGACATTGGATTTACTGGATAACTAAGCCAAACTCGAGGGTTTTTCTCCTTAACAGACTCGATTGTAAGTCCTTCTTCTTCAAATGCATTCTGCTTTGGGTCTGCATAGTGCTGAATCATAGGATTTGTGAATTGCTCGTCATTTTGATCTCCATTTTCCCTAGATTTGTAAAAAAATATTTTTAAATAAGTGAGAATTTTGTAAAATGATTTTTCTTACATTTTGCGGTCTGAACGTGATGATCCTTCAAAGTATTCTAAGTTATTGCACGCTTATTAACTTAATAAACTGTTTAAAACTGCTAAACACTTATTAATTATAGAGAATTTTAAAATTTAAGTTTGTTGTGAAATTTGAGAAATGCGCTCAAAATTATTCAAAGTAACGTTTTTCCAAATTTCAAATAGGTAGTAAAGATAAAATATCAATTTCTGAAGCTAATATTAATTGAATTAACTTGCAATTTTAGCAGTGACTTTCTTATAGACGCTTCTTCATCAGATTTATTTACAGACCTCCAGATTTCGCAAGAAAAAAGATAACATAACCGGGTTTTTTTATTTGAAAATATTTCCGAAATGACTTGGTTTTCAAATTTTAAAAAGTCGTTATAAAATTTAAGTAAACAGCATTTCCAAGGTATTACAATAAGGCACATAGTTTAATCAAAAAATTCTATAATTTATTAAATGCTCAATTCTATAGACAAGCTTTTTACACCATTTTTGGACCATGTTCCATCAACTTTTTTCTAAGCTTCTCATTCACTTTAGAATCTATGTCTTCATCATTCCGTCTATCCAATTCGTCAATCACGTCTCTAATTTCTTCTTTAACTTTGTCAACTTCCTGATACATTTTGGCAGATATTGGAATAACTCTTTCGAACTTGAGTAGCTTTTCAGGTCTGATATCTTCAGAAATTTCTTCCACAGCTAAACTTAAGTCATTGAAATAGTTTTCATATTCTATAAACTTGTCAATACTTCCATCAAGATCCATTTTGTTAATTAATAATATTGATGGCTTTTCGAGTAATGTTGAGTCATACAGTTCCAGTTCCTTATTCAACGAATAAACATTTTCGAGACAATTTCGTCGCTGATGTTTCTGACTCAATTGAAATCCATTAATATCGACAATTAACATTAGTAATCGAGTTCGTTCCACATGCTTAAGGAACTGATGACCCATTCCAATATTTTTATGAGCATTCTCAATCAATCCTGGAAGATCCGCAACTGTAATTTGTCTATAATCTGAATACTCTAAGACACCAATTTGTGGCATAATTGTTGTGAATGGATATGACGCAATTTTAGGTCTAGCATTCGATATCGCTTTCAGTAAAGTGCTCTTGCCTGCATTTGGAAATCCAACAAGCCCAATGTCAGCAATTATTTTAAGATCCAGTGTGATATTCCTGACATTTCCTTTTGTGCCTATAAAACTGCTTCCTGAACAGCCTCCTGCGCCTGTAAAGTTTATGGACATTAGGATAGAATCTACATTAAGCTATGGATGTCAAAATTACCTCCAGAGGCTACTAAGCACGTCTCGTCTTCCTTATTCAATTCACCAATAATCTGTGATGTGTCATTGTCAATTACAGTAACGCCGCACGGAATTTCTAGTTCCTGATCAGCTCCTCTACGTCCAACAAGTCTCATCTTATTGCTATCTTCGCCACTTCTTGCTTCTATCATTTTTGATGGATTTTTCCTCCACAGTTCCTTTAATGAACATTTTTCTACTGCTTTTAAGTATACAGCACCACCTTGTCCTCCAATACCACCGTATTTAGGCATTCCATTTCCACCGTGTCCTCCCTAGATTGTTTAAAATTAGATTCATGGATTTATTACATGTATTTATCACTTACTTTGACTGTAATTTGGAGGGTATCGAGGAACTTTTTTGGTTTGATGATTTTCTGGCGATGAAAGAGCTTTTCAATTAATGACAATAGTTCAATATGATGGATATAACTTACCCTTGCACGTTTCTCTAGTTTTAGAAGTGAATTTGTCAATAGAACCATGTTTTTACACACTTTTATTGAATGTAAACATTAGTATGGTTTATACCAGGGGAAAATCAACTGCTATGAAAGTTTCTCGTAAAATACATGTCGTACAGTTGATTTTCCCCTTAGTAAACAAAAAATTTATAAAACATAAAAAAATTACTTTAATTCAATTACAAAGCATTCAATGGAGGAACAAAACATGGATTTCGATACAAAATTTAAAGTTCTTGAGGATGAAAATGAGAAACTTAAAGCAGCATTGAAAGAAGTAAGTAAAAAATCAAATATTCAATTTTTAACAAAACTTTATTAAGTTCATAAATGAAATGTATAGTCACAGCGTCGAGAAAAGCTTTTAATGCGAAGGAATCAACTTAATTCAACACAACAGCTTGACTTCCTGAACCAACTCAATGAATTAAAGTACAGAAAGATTGATTCAAATTCATCAACTGTTTTTGATCCAGCAGTGTAAGTTGTAAACTAATTAATCCTCATCTTAACAGCCATAATAAGTATGTATACATAATTTTCCAGTAATATAATATTCACAAAATTAAAGAATGAGCTGAAAGCGACAAAAGCAAAGCTTGAAGACACACAAAATGAACTGACTGCCTGGAAATTCACACCAGATTCAAACACAGGCAAGAGATTGATGGCAAAGTGTCGACTGCTGTATCAAGAAAATGAGGAACTCGGCAAAGTGATCTCAAATGGACGACTAGCAAAGCTAGAAACAGAATTGGCAATACAAAAGAATATGAATGAGGAGCTTAAGAGGTCACATTCAGAATTTGAAGGCATAATCCAAGACTTTGACATTGACATGGAAGGGCTAACCACAACTATAATTAATCTACAGCAGAAATTGAAGACAGCTGAAGATAAAATTGTCAAGCTTGAAAAGGAACTGAAAGAAAAGCCAGATATTGATAATTGTGAGAGTTTAGATGCCAATGACGATGATTTGGAACCGCCATCATCAAAAAGACTATGCGTTGAGAATTAAAAGAATTTTGTTCAAGGTTTCACACTTTGAGCTTCAAATTTTTATTTGTTCCACACATTATTGTCAAAAATAGATCTAACATCTGAGTTTCATCAAAAAAACTGATTTTCTAATTAAATATTAATCATAATAATAAAAAAAATTGGATGATATCAAAAAGTATCTAAATGTGTGTATAGTCTTTAATTAAAGAAAAAAATCTTAATCCACTTTACCAAGAGAAGAATATAAGAAGGAAAAAAAAATCATTTAAAAATGTAGAAAAAATGAACTATAAAAATCATAGCAAAAATATATAAAATCATTATTAATAATTCAATCGTCTAAGCGATTTTCGGCTAGCTTTAGTTCCTGCCAATATTTTCGAGTGATTACGTGACGGCGATGGTGGAGATAAATCGCCACAAATTCGCTTTGGATGATATTTACAGTTGCATTTTGTACAAAATTTAAAGCTACATCCAACTCCCGTACATATCCCATACTCATAAATTTCATCCATACCACATGATTCGTCACTTCCCGATGAATTTGGGGAATCGCAGCTACTTGATCGTTGTGGACTTCTGCTTGAATCTTCATCAATGTGTGACAATGTGACGTAATGAGGAGCTGTTATAGCTTCATGGAAGCTTTCGGGAATACTGGTCGTCTTAGAAAGGAATGTTGTTCGAAATCTTTTTTGTACACGTCCCGTACTTGTCGATAATTTCAAAATGCTATTGCTGCCACTGCCTGTCTTCTTCTTTCTTGGTGAATTACGAATTTTAACGGTGCTTATTTTTGCTGGTTTACGACATCGTGGACAGCGCTTAAATGTCGTTGTTTTGTTCGTTTGAATAAGCTACAAAAGAGATCCACAATTTTATTGGCAGGCACAATTTTAAGGATCAATTGAAGAATAACGGTTTAAATTAATTTGAATTCTTGAACTTAAAGGCTCAAAACCGTTAAATTTCAAATATTGTGGGACCGTTTTATTTGAAGTCTAATACATACCTTTTGAATTTCGTTAAATCGACGTGACGAGGGACTTTGTGGAGGTGATGGAGTCTTTTGTTTTGTCAAATTTAAATTAATATTGTAAGGTCCAAAAGCCTTCTTTTTCTTCTTATCCCGAATGTTTGATTCATTGACATACTCAGTTTCAATTGTGAAATTTAATGCCTTACGCTTTCTCGACGGTGGTACTTTGTTTTCCTTAATTGCTCTACATTTTTTGAGGTAGTTGAGTCGCTTTGTATTATATTGTTTGTTATCTTTGATCATGTTACTGTAATCTTTGCAGACATGTGACAGACTTACGAGAGACGCTGCATCCATAAAGCTGAGAATTTCGGTGACAGCAATATCATGGTTGCTGTGCAACGTTCCCAAAATGTCAAATTTGGAACGTCCATTGAAGAAGTTACGCCTTTCAATGGACTTTGAGGAATTGATTGTTGATGTCGACGACGAGAATGTCGATTGTACTAGTTTGACCCGAGATTCTGATGTGCTTATACCTGCACGATTCGATTGCTTAATATCATCAGTCCATAAATTGTGTAAATTCGCAGGAATGTCTTGCTGTATATTACTGTTTGTGAAATTTCCACTTAAATTCGAAAAATCTATATTACTCAAATTAATTGAATCATCTTCGGCAAGCGATTTGATCGGTGGCGTAAATGTAAATTTTTCAGTCACTTCCGCATTATTCAAGTTGCTCTTTCCAGCATGTAACTTTTCTGGATGAAAGCTACGGAATTTTCCCCATTTTGTGTTTTGCGTACGAATTGGTGTAGAACAAAGAATCACATTCTCACTGCTGCATTTCTCTTTAAGCACCAATTTGGCGCAATTTTTGTCATCTACATCCCGTCTGCGAATTTTTACAGGCGAGACAAATTGGAATGAATTATAAAAGTTTTCATCACTCTCTGTAACTTCAGACTTTCTCTTCTTTGGCGTACGCGATGCTCTGCTTATTGATGATGTTGATCCAGTGGTTGTTAGATTGCATGAAGAAGAAGAATAAAGCGATGAATAGCCTGACGATTGCTGCGTATTTTCTGATGTTAAATTAAGAGAAAATTGCTGTAAACTTGCTCGTCTAGGAGCAAGGCTCTTTCTCCTAATAGCTGGCAATGAGAAGTCAGTTGCTGTACTGCTTGATAAGTCGATTTCAGAGTGAAAGCCACTTTCAGCTATTTTGTTTTTAAATTCATTCTCCTTTAATTGCTTTATTCTCTTTGCTGATGCCGTACTAGACATTTCTATTCTATTCTTTGTTGTTACTCACATTAAACAAAAACATTAATCACGTTAAAAGACACTTTAATCGACTGTAAATTCAAGTTTTTAATTATTTTAAATTATAATCCATTTGACTGACTCTTACTTTTTTCACTTTATAAGCCTATACCCGTTACTAAGCCTCAGGCTTATAAAAAGAAAAGTTTCAAAATTAATTTCGGTAAATTATAACAGTTTTTTGAATTATTTCTGACAGTTGGAACTTTTTATAACAGTTTCTTACCACTTTGCACAAGCATCAAGGCTGATCTGTGTGCGAATTATTGGAAATCAATTTAAGACATTTTCAATCTTAACTATGCATACTATATGTAAATTAACAGCAGGAAGCATAACTTTACAGCTGTCTAAAAACGGAAAAGAATTTCAAAAGAATGCATTGGATGTGCATATGCACACATAACTCTTCTCTCTCACTTGCTAACTTATAAATTTTGATCAAAACAAATCGCTCACACATTTTCATCAACCATGCTTTACACACCAAGCACCAAATACCATTGCAAATTTAACTCTTTCTTCTCCCAATTCAACACACAGCACACAGCAAAGAAAAGAAGTCAAATTGGATGAAATGTTGTAAGACATATTATTCAATACACCGTTGAGTCAGTTGGAAGGAAACCGTGCTCGTGATCAGACATAAAGTTAAGCCACCTTCTTGGAAATTTAAAAAATCGTAACCCATATATTGGACATAAAAAGAGGTGACATTTTACAAATTGTGCAATAAATGAGATTATTCTGGGAATTTAAAGCCATAATTTGATTTGGATATACTTAAAATAAGATTATTGAGAAGGAAGAAAAAAGAAATTTTAAGTGTGAAAGTTGAGAGAGAAAAAAAATTAATTTCTTATAAGCAGAAAGTCACAAAAAATAAGCAAGCAAGCAGCAGTAAAGAGAAAAGAAAGAAAAATGAAAATGTGGTTGTGATCGTTTGGATATCTTTGGCTCATGCCAATGTATTGCATATAGCAGAGCAATAAAAGAAAATAATAAGTATTTATACTTTTGTGAAAGGTTTTTATTTCAATCACATTATTACGACAAACAAACGACATCCAGCTCAAAGAGTGAAGAACAAACATTATATTTCGCGTGAGAGATACATCAACGAGGAGTATAGAGGAATATCATAACAAAAATTAATAGCTTAATAACAACAAAAAAATGTAAGTCGAGACATCATCAAAAGATCATTTTTATGCACAGATTCTCCCTTTATTCAAGCTTCCCGAGCAGCAATTTGCAACTTACTTTTTAAGAATCAGAACATTTTTTAATTATGTAAAAGTTGATTTTAATAAATCCATATGAAACCACCTGAATGAGTTAAAAAGTCGAGTTACGACCTTGGATAAATTTTTTTGCAACATTTTATCTCTTAAGACATTCAATCGTCGTCTAAAATTGAAATTTCGAAAAGACTTGAAAGTATTAATGTGTTCAATAACAAGTTTAATAAATGAGTATTAAATGTATTAAGAAATTTTACAAGAACCCAACCTACATCTGGTTTTCTTATTCATTGGAATTCAAAACTAGCTTGAACTTATTTTAAAGTGAATTTTCAAGGATTAATTTAAGCAATGCCTGGTTAAACCTATTTGAATAGTTCTAAAACAATTTCAAAAATTTTAAAAAAAATTTATTGATCAGTTCGCATGCTCTTCCAAGCTTGTCTTATCTTCTGATTTTGTTCTTCATTGACCTATATCCTAAAAGGTTAATTTTGTCTCGAATTCTACTACTTAACCTCCATTGGTTGTTCATTAACTTAAAACACTTAGCTAGAACCAAAAATTCTCAATTCCTCAACCATATACAGCCAGGGTTTTGATCAAGTCATGCTCATAGCTCAATTGAAATCTTAATTCTTCTCGATTTCATTAATAGACAATTTTCCATCTCGGTTGTGGATGAAAAGTCTCTCATAAATCATTTTCAGATAATTGTCTTACATTCAATGAGAGACACACAATCTCAAGGCTTTTTGAAAGTGAATTTGGATTTTTTTTTTCTTTTCTTTTTAAACATTTCAGTGAGTTTTTCTCATTTCTTTTCTTCTTTTCATTTCGCTCTACATTATGCACATGTGGAAAGTAAAATTTCATAAAAAGAAGTTTAATGATATGTGTCATGGTGTTAATTCTCTCTTCTGATTTAATTGCCAACTTCGTATCATATATTGTATGAAAGGAAAATGAAGTTATGTAGAAAATGTTAAAGTTTGCAGTCATAATTGTCTTCTTTTCACCGACATCATTGACTTAATTCACAAATTAACATTCACCGACTATCGCTGTCAACATAATTAAAAATCCGCTATGAATTGATCTCAAATACCAAAGGAATTGCTTCATAAAATTTATTAAATACTTACCCTGTTTTTTCGTTATAAGCTAGTAGCTTAGAAGAATAAAAAAGTGATTTTTTTGGATCACTAGTAGCTTAGTAACGAGTAGTAGCTTAGTAAAGAAATTGAACTTCAATGAAAATTAAAGACATTTTGCTATCTTCTCGATTTTATTTCATTGACAATGTCATAAGACATTGAAACTGATACTTAAAAAGTTAAAAAAGATTAATTAAACTATATTTTTGGTAGTAGCTTAGTAAAGATTACAAAAAATTTTCAAGTTCAAAAAAACTTTACTAAGCTAGTAGCTTAGTAACGAGTAGTAGCTTATAACGAAAAAACAGGGTATTGTTGTAAATGTCCATGAACACAAAAATTTATGATTACAAATCGATACATTAACCAGTATTGTAACATTGAAATATTTTTTTTGTTCAAATTCATTGATTTCTTTGCGAAAAAAAAAATGAAATAAACAGCAAGTTGGATAGTCATTTAAGTTGTTATAGCTTTAAATTGGCGTTTATTGTCTTTGTCTAGCTGAAGTTTATTAACTTTTGATTTAAAAATTGAATTAAGAATGGTTTCAGGTTTGAAAAAATTTAAAATTGTGTTCTTCACCTCGAAAGTTGTTTTTAAAAAATTACCTTAATTAAATTAACTTATGCAGAAACTATCTCCACATATGATCAAAAAAGATGGCAAAAATCATCCACTTGCTATTCTAAACCATAAAAATATCAAGTTTTTGAAAAAATAAGTGTTTTGTAACTTAACCTCAAATTAAAAAAACAAACTCTCAAAAAAAATTTAAAACTTCACAATTTGTAAAACAAAAAGATCTTTTACCCAAATTGAACTCAAAAATTGCACAAAAAAATCAAATAATTCAAGAATTGGCTCTTTCAACAGCACCCAACAAAAGTGATTTTTCCTTCACACGAATAAAATAGAAATCATGAAAAATCGATTATGTTTTGAAATGAAGCTTCACAAAATAATAACAGCAAAGATGCTCATGAAGCATTTACTTACTTTTATCTATTTACATTATCATCGATAATTTTCTCTCCGTAACAAAACTCTTGAAAGAGAAATTAATTTGTTTTTTTTTCATATTTTTCATCTCGGAACGAAAAAAAAATGTAGAAAAATTGTTTTACAGCACAAAAGAAATAAGAAAAACTTTCTTGCAATTAATTGCACACACAAAAAATATTTTTCAAGTTGATTTTTCTACTTTTTCTTCCTTTATCAACATAGAAAAATACAAAATCTCTATTTGTATGCAGTTTCACAATAACGAGCAACAAGAAACCACAAAAAATGTTTGCTTTTATTTGTTTTTATTTAATTTATTTACAATATTTAAATATTTACGTGAAACCACTGCGTTTGCTAATTAGAGAGAAGAAGTTTTAAGGTTTTTTGATCAATCAAATGTAAGCTACTGCTTAGTAGTATGAAAAACAAAGAAAGTGTGAAAAATCATTTTTTGAGCAGCTAAAATTCAAGTTTTTTAAGCTTTACGATTTGTTGACTAGTCTGTTGAATAAATGTGATATAATTCAGGTTTTATGGGACGGTTGAATGATTCTGACAAGTTTTTTGCATGTTGTTTAACAATTTTTTGTACCTGGAAACATCCAGAAATCTTATTTTTTCTGCTGCTGATTCTTTTTTACTTTAAAAACTGGTTAAAAATTCCTAATTCATCTGATTTGTGGCATTAAGCCTCGCAATAAAGGGACTAAAACTCTTGCAGACAGTATGAAGTCATAAACCTCAATAAAAGGTCTAAAGTCACAACATTTTAAAATTGATCCTCTTAATAATTAAGATAAGTTGTTAGTTTCTTGCAACAAGAATCCGACAGAGGCATTAATTATCAAACCGTGTGTGCTGCCCATTTAAACTTAATTAAGGAGATAAATAAGCATTGCAGCATTTTCAAGGCTTAAGTTCTAATAATTAAATTTCTTACAATAACGCAAATTGTGTTTAGCGGAAGTAAATTAAGCAGAAACAAAGAACTGTGCTGCTGCTGTATAAAGGTGGTGAATTTCTATTAAAATGTGTCAACTTCTTCCACTTCTTTTAGACACAAATATTAATAAGTCTGCAGCTGATACTAATTTTTAATAAGTCAGTCACACATACAGATTCAATTAATTATGTAAAGTAGATTATGCAAGTACCAAAGGTGGACTAATTTGTGTCTTTTTCGATAAAAAATGAAAAATCCGGTTTTGGATATATTTAGAATATAAAGTCAACTTTTTAGCTTTGTAGCTTTTGGAATTCAAATTAAACGCAATGAGCAGGAATTGATGTTGATAATTAACGTTGTGACATTTAGGTATAACGTAATTTTATTTTTGAGAACACATATTATTAAGTTCTGGTGAATTAGCAAAAATTTTAATATTAAAAACAATTTAAAATTTTCTGATGAATTTTAAAAACCTTAGAAAATTGAATTATCTGTTTAAAAAAAGGATTAATAAGATTAAGACTCTGTTTATTTGCCTTTTCTGAAGAACAAGAGGAATATTCAAAAGTCGACGCGAAATTAGTTTTTGACAAAAAATGACATTCAAGAAGATCATATGCAAATCAATATCAAATTTTACGTAAGATTTAAGAGCATTTAAGAATGTAAAAAATTCTGGGAAAATTTTTTGAGATTAGTAAGAAATGAAACCAGATTGTAAAGTATTTTGTTGAAATTATTGGATATATGATGAGTTTACAATAGTCAAAGACTTGATTTGATGGTTTTATTGGTTTGTTATTTTAAAAAAAGTTTGTTTTTCTGCATCATTCTGGATAGAATTTAATACGAACATTGACTCAGACAAACACAAAGTACACGCGTAGCAAATGATATAGAATTGATTTGCTTGATTTTTTAAACTAGCTTAAATAACCTTAATCTTTGAAAATCAATTAAAGTCTTTTAAAGTTAGGAATGCAGTCTTAGAAAATTACTATTTTAAACGTAAACATTAGCTTGGCCTATTCTTGCATAACTTTTTACTCATCTTTCTCACCACTTTGAATTTTTATTTTCAAAAATGGAAAATCCGTTAATTAACGTTTAATGTCAATTACGATAATTTGATACAAATTGAGATCTTTAATGTTCCTAGAACGCTGAATCTCATAATTTTACCTCTTTTGTTAATATAGTATTAAGATCAAAGGTTTTTATGCCGATCTCAGCAGTAACAGTTAACACTGTTGAGGATGGCTTTTCCTTTGCAAAAGTTAAGAAGAGAATAATAAACAATAATAATAATAATAATAATAACTATATTTAAGGGCTAATGGTCATCTGGCAGAAAGTAATTCCTAGGAATTCCTGTTACTTTACGTAAGATTTTACAAGGAAAACGTAGGAAATCCTAGGAATTCCTTGAAAATTCATACGCAAAGTAACAGGAATAATTAAATAAGTTAATGAAAAAGTACAAAAATTAGGAATTTCAACATGGTTTAGCAATTAAGAAATTTTACCGCATTTTTGAAACTTGTTTCTTAAAGGTAGCTTATTAGTACACTTTGTTCGGTTGTTCGGGTGTTCGGCTGATCGAGCGAAGAAAAACTTTTTAACCATGCTCGGGTTTGTTTAATCAGCTCAGTTCTTTCGAGTTATTGACCGAACGAATATTTTTGAAGCATAAAACAATATATAACACCAGGACTTTCTCCAATTTTTTAATAGGCACTCGATAGTTTATTGCAAATCTTAACATTAACAAGAAATAAAAGTAAATATCTTTACTAAAATTCCTAGAAATTTGTAAGGAT